CCCTACCCATCAATTACTTGCTTTTGCCTTTTGGAGGGGCGTTATTTCTATCACCACCAGAAGGGTTTCCGGTCTTGCTGGGCCAACCGGCACTTCCGCGGCTGCCGCCTTTACTGCCGCCACGGTTACTGCCCTTACTGCTGCTACGGCTTCCAGTTGATTTAGCCATTTTTTTACCTCCTTTCTTATTATCCATCACCCCACAGGAACACTATAAGTTCCCAATTGAGGCGATTATGACTCAATTGTTAAGTGATGCAAGGTTTTTGCCGTTTGGCAAGATTATCTCGTCCGTCCCCAATTGCGGAAATCATCTCTCTCTCGCGTTCGGTGCAACTCTTTTCGGCGAGTGCGCATCGCACCTGCTTGATCGACTTCTTTTTCGAGTGTCACCAAATGTGCTTGGCGCAGCCACCAAAACGCCTCAAATAACGGTCGGCGAGGCGAGGAACCAACGTCTATATTGTGCTTTTTTCGGTCTAAATGTCGAATCTGTTTGTGTGCTCTCTTAGCCAACGCGCGGGTTGTCTCATCGGGATCATTTTGTGAGAGCCAGAAGAGCGTCCGATGCGCCCGTCCACCCGGGTTCACACGCAACGCTGCCAGCGCTTGAACGTAGCCTTGTCGCCACAGCGGACGATGTTCAATGAAATCTTCATCGGTGTAAGATTGTTTGTCCGCACTGGATGCTTCCTTTTTTTTCTTTGTTTTAAGGCATCCGAGACAAAATTTGGCAAGCTCTTCCCGCAAACCTTGTAGATATGGATCACTATCTAGTTCCTTCCGAAGGTTCTGTGGATACATTGTTATCGCAATCCACAGTGCTACGCTGGAATATGGATAAGGCAGCTTCTCTTCCTCACCATATTCAGGCCAAGCTCGAAGGTCAGATGTAACGGCTTGCACAGTCATCTGTGTAAAAGCAAGCAATAAGGGCTTTAGGCATTTCCACGGAGAAGCCAAAGTTAGTAAAATATGAAAAGCATCCTCATAAAAACCGGGAACTGTTCCCGCTGAATCCTCATCCTTAAAGTCTTTAGGTGTGTCCCTTAATACAGAACGCAAGATTCCGATGTGCCTTGCAGCACTTTCGACAAGTCGATTTCTCAAATCCGTAGAGAGTTCAGCTTCCAACCCGCCCATATCCCAACCGTAAATTACCTTAGCCAAATGCCACCAAGCTCTGAGCAATGATGAGCGTTCTTGACTTGAATCAGGCTCTTTCGCATTGAGAAGCCCCAAAAACAACAGTAACTCATGCGCAACAACCCGCCAGCCGTCGTTCAACGGATCCAAACGTACCAAGGACCTAGGAATAACACTCATGGCATAGTGGATGGCATTCCGTAGTCCAAGGATCTTTTTTCCTAAAACATCCTCTGGAAAATCGGAAAAAGGTTGCAGTAAGGTATTCAGCCGGATTATGTCACGACGTTTTTCATCATCTTCAAACCTCCAGATTAACCAAAATTCAAGTTGTTTGGGATCTTCAAAATCGTTGCTGCTGTATCTGCTGCGCTGAATCGGATTTAATAGGTTTAGGTCAACTACCTGATTCAGAGGTACACCCTCTGGAAAGAGGCATGGCACCAAATCATCAAATTTTGAAATCTCAACCAGTTTGCCCCAATTCAAACTTTTGGCACAGAACCTTGCATGATTTTGGAATTCGCGAATCCACTCAGGATCAGGGATATCCGAGGAGTCGCTTGATTTATCGAGCTCATCGTTGGGTCGAAGGCTATTTATAGGTTCAAAGCCAAGCATTGAGCTAAAAAGAAGTGCCAAGGCAGTTTGACAAGCTTTCCCAATTTGAACCTTTCCTTTTACTACTCTCAGAGCACTCTTTAAATCGTCCTCAAAATTCTCTCTGAATACAAAGGTACCACTGGGATCGCCAAAAGTGTCCGGGCGTTTAAAAAGCTGAACCAACCACTCTTGGTCATCATTGGGAAAACCAGCGTTTTGCAGATTCTGCTTTATAGCTTCTTCTTCATACTCGTAAGAAGAATCATCTGGGACAAATAGGGATGCAGTGTTTTTTTCGGCTTTGCTCATGACAGCGCTCCTTTTTGGGGCAGCAAAGTTACATCCTTAGTGCCAACCCAATACGAATTTTAGATTGTGAATCCGTCGGATTCCCGACGGAAGAACGTCAGGACCGGGACAGATGCACAAAGCATCAAAGCAACGGGGCTGATTTGAATTATAAATCTATTTTATACACAACACATGACTCAGAATCAACTACTGTTTCATTTATTTCGTCTCGTCTAAAGGGGTGTTTTTTTCAGCTTTGCTTATGCAAGTGCTCCTTTTTGGAACAACAAAGCTATATCCTTAGTGGCAACCCATGAACCCGTCGGATTCCCGACGGAAGAACGTCAGGACCGGAAGAGATGCACAAGGCATCAGAGCAACGAGGTTCATTTGAATCAAAACATATTATAACCCAAGTTGCCGCCTCATAGGGAGAGGTAGCAACTCGTGTTATTATAATTAATACGTAACTCGGATGTCAACTAATTTTTCATTTTTTTCTAAAATGCTACGCAACCGATGGTGGTCCTGTATAGCCTATGCTCTCCCAACCTGCCACATCGCCGCCCTTCAGGCGGTAGGTATGGGGGTAGATTTTTGAGAGAACGATCTTCCAGCGGCACAGGAATCCGTCCATGTCCGCGGTGGGCAGACTGTTTCAGGGCGATTGCGATTTCCAGTGCTTGACGGTAGTCTTGGCCACTGCACAGGGCATCATCGCCGGTATCCACCGCTCGCATGAGCCGTTCAATCGCTGATGTAAATCCATCGTTTCGGGAGCTATCCAGAAATTCCGGATGAATCGGCGTTGAAGCGGCACCTTGACCTTGGATAAGGATTGGCTTAGGAGAGGTAATCCACACCCGCCCATTCTCACCGGTAACCGAAACGGGACAGAACACTTTCTGATCCGTTTGTGGCTTGACGATTTCACAGACGATCCCACCGGATAATCCCAAGCGACCATACGCTGGTGAATCCGTCTCCACTGCTGCAAACTCGACAGGAGGCATCCAACCGGCTTGCGGAGGTAACGCCCATCCCTCCGCCCATTCAACCTCCATACCAGTGAGTAGACGCGTCATGGTCAGCTGCACACAACCCCCGCCCGATACTTCTGTCGGCAACCCACCGGGAATAGCGGCACCGGTCAGTTGGCCGATATTGCCCGCCCGTATCCAATCAGCGACCTCCAGTAGATGGGGCGCGTCCCAGTAACCGGTCCCGCAGCCGAAGGCAGTTCCCCGTTCACGGCAGGTACGCACCATTTCATCCGCCTGCGATAGTTCCACGGCTATCGGCTTTTCGCACGAAACCGCCTTGACACCCGCTTCAGCGCAAGCTATTACCGTTTCAGGATTATGACCGACAGGTAGAATAATTGAGACGATGTCAGGCACCTCTTTGGCAAAGAGTTCGTCCACGTATCAAAGACAGTGTTGACGGCATAACGCTCGGCGAGCAACGTCGGTCGCGGCGCGGTCTACCAGCGCGACATTCGCAGTCCGGATGGTTGCGTAGGCCCGTAGATACAAGACGTACCCCAGTCCACTGCGGCCCCACCCCGACGCTGCAACTCTGTATATTTTCGTCTCGTTGACAAGATGTACTCCTTACGATGGTGAAACGCGAAGCAGATGTCATGCGATTCAGAGATCGAACTCTGAAACCAATGACTAGTTGGACAGTGCGGCAAAAACCACCCAACCTCCTCACGAACCAACACAAGCTTATTAAAGTGACGATGTGAATTGAAAGGGTGAACGTCGATCAGTCCCATTTTCACAAACCGTTCGGGGCCACCAAACGTGCGGATAGCCGAGGCGGAAAGAGGAGTTCCAGAATGTGGAAATAATTCCCCCTGTTACCGAAACAAAATCGGTGTCAATAGCAAGATCCTCAATGCTTACGCCTCCCCATCATCAGTTGGATTCAGCCTGTCCTGCGACCTCTCAAGGTGGAAGGCGTTTGCTCTACTGTGATGTGTGTAACGCGCCCCGATCGCTCCCCAAAACAGTCCTGTCCCACTCTGTTGCGAATAGAATCTTTCCACTCCACTGCGAGAGATGAGCAGAGCGCCGTAGGCGTTTTTTCCAACTCGCCGGTAATCCCTTTAAGGTGACTCGACTGGTTGATAATCCGCATCATGCCCCCGCGGTTCTTCGGGTTATGGGTATTTGTCCGCAAGCCATAGCGTCGGCAGAAGATGGTGAATGGATGGTCGGCTGGATTGAGCACTGAATCTGTGCTGCCCCAATACGTTTGGCGCGATCCCCAAGAAAGCGACACTGTCTCAAAATCGTCCTGTCCTGAATCCGATGTCACAGAGGATACAGTTTTCCTCCGTTTCACATCGCAGACGAAATAGCCGATTACCTCATCGCTTCGTTCAGAACAGACAAAGGTGGGCAGCGACAAACCCAAAGTCCTCCCCATCTTGATTCCTTCCAACGGGTCTCGTCTCGCAAAGGTGTACCAGAGTCGTTCGGCGTTGTTCGCTCGCGTAGAGAGCCAATATTTTTGGCGCGTCCCCTCCTCAAACTTGGCGGAGCTGATATGTGGCGACAGCTGCTTGTGCATCCTCTGTATCAAGCTCGACCCATGTTTCCGGAAGCACCGTTGCGTAGCCAAATTTGGGATAGAAGTTCGGGATACCAAACAGCATGGCGACATCAAATCCATTTTCTGTCATGAACGCTGTTGAGTCCCCCATGACGTGCCGAGAATATCCTTTGTTGCGATGCTCCTCAATCGTCCCAACGCCGGCGATGCCGCCCATCTTGAGTTGTGCAGTACCAAATCGCATCCGGTACTCATGGAGCCAGAGGCGGCTTATATCTTGCTCGCCTCCGGCCGAGAGCGAGATCTTCCAAACACCATCAGTTCGTAGTAATCGGTTAATTTTCATCAAAATCCCTCAATTGTTACAATTGCTATTCTCACACATTACGCTTCACGTTTCACGCATCACGCCACTGCTCCAGCGGGTGCCGGCGATCGGCGAGCGGCAATTCGACGCGTCGTCCGCCTTCGCGGTGCGACTGATAAATCGCCATCATCATCTCAAACGCCCAACGTCCCTCCGCGCCACTACTCGGCGGCTGCGTATCCGTTTCGATGGCGTGAACTATCCGTCGGTACATGGTGACGATTGGCTCTTCAAGACCGACATCTGATAAATCCACCTGCTGCCAATCTGAGAACTGCGCCGGCGCGCCTTCCATCGGACGCGGCAGATGCCATAGGTTGTCTGTTACGTTTGCCGATGCACGTACCGCCAACTGTCCCTCGGTTCCGAGAACATCCACGCCGTAGTTCTCGCTCATCGTTTTGGCGTAGTTGATAAAATGCGTTTCACCCCAGATGCCGCCTTGGAAACCGTAGTGCGCTATTGCGCGTGTCCCCATCACCAATCCAGAGTCCCGATCTCGCGGAGACATCTCCTTCGCCTCCATAATGTCCGTCGGTCCGGCGGATTGGTTCTCGTTGTAAACCGTCCCCCGAACACCACTCTGGAACTCCACCGAAGCAGAGCATCATGTCCGCGACGTGTGTTCCCATCTCCATGAACTCGTTTCCACTTTTGCGTCCGGCTTTATTTCTCCCTCGCACCAAGATTACATCGCCGATGCCCCCTTCCTGCACCATCGCTTGTGCTTTCCGGATGCCGGGGTTGACATGGTTCTGTTGATGAATGGCGAATTTCGCGCCGGAGGCTTCCGCAGCAGCGACCATGCCATCCGCTTCGACGAGGTCAATGGCAATCGGCTTCTCGCACAAGACGGAGATTCCCCGCCGTAACGCTGCAACTACTGGTCCATGATGACCTCGTGTCTGCGTGGCGACGGTGACGAGGTCTAAATTCGCTTCGTCGTACATCTGATCGAAATCGAGGTAACGCGCTTCGACACCATATTCGTCTCCCGATTTATTGACGGCATCGGGAAAAATATCGCAGAGCGCGACAAGTTCAAATTCGGGTAAGTCGTTGAGGACGTTGAGATGGTGGCGTCCCATGCCGCCACAGCCAACAAGTCCTGCTCGATAGGTTTTGGACATGATGTGTCTCCTTTGCATGAAGCGTGATGCGTGATGTGTATCCTGATAAGTCTGTCATAAACTACGATCACCGCAGTCCAGACTTTTTCAATGCTCTTTTGAGCATTTTCAACTCGGCAGCTTCCCCTTGTTTCCCACGGTAATGTCGATTTCTGAGGGCGTTTCCCATGTTACGTCCAGCGGGATGCACTAAAGCAACAACGGTTGCAGGCTTGGAATTATTGAAACGAACTTTCTTCACTAAAGGTCCCAAATCCGAATCATCTAACTCCGGGAAATTTTACATTCTTTCCATTCAGCCAAGTCAGGTGATAACTGTGCGATGAACTTGATGGAGTGCTTACCCAATGCTAAAATAAGACGCGGTTTCTGTACCATAATTTGCTTGTTAAGAAAGAATGACTCACAGCACTCTACAAACTCTGGATCAGCCGCTCCCGGAGATTGACCGGTGCCCTTCCCTGTGAGTCTCAAGCCCATGTAGACATTTGTAAAAAAACAATGCTTTGGCTTGATGCCAGCGCAATGCAAGAGTTCAAGCAAATTACGCCATGTTGATGAAGAATTCAGATTCTCGTACGGATTATCCCAAACCTCTTTGTACCCATCTCTTAAACCGAAGTCATTCCCAAGTATCATTATCTTCTTTTTGGGCATGGTTGGAGGCTTTGAATTAACAAAGAAAGAATAATTGGCTTGGAGAGCGGAGGGGTAACATTTCCTTTGGAGGTGTGTGCCATAACCCGGAACCCCCCGGGAAAAAGGCTGTTCCAGCAAGCATTTTTTTTACTGGAGCGACTTTTCCGTATTGATCCGGCGCAACCTTTTTTCGCGCATTGAATAGGCATGCAATTGGGTCTCGTTTCTGTCTAGGCATATCTGAAAGTCTCCTTTGTTGATAGAGTGAGGAAAGGCAACCACAAAGGTTGCACCTACTGACAGAACAGGTATTGGACTACTACAATCTGAAGCCTAGGACCTATGTTCAAGGAATGAAAAAAGCCGTTTTCCTATGTTGCGCGGAGGAAAACGGCTTTTTGACAAATACGGACAAACAAGCGTTTGTCCCTTCTGGTTTTTTAATCCGCAGCGGAGGAGTATACCTTTGAACCCGACTCCTTGAACTCATCGCTCTTTTCAGCCATGCCTAGTCGGAGTGCGTCCTCATCGGTGACACCCTTTTCCCGCGCATACCGACGGACATCTTCCGTGATCTTCATGGAGCAGAAATGCGGACCGCACATCGAGCAGAAGTGTGCTTGTTTCGCGCCCTCTTGCGGCAGGGTTTCGTCGTGGAATTCACGAGCGGTTTCCGGATCGAGGCTCAGATTGAACTGATCTTCCCACCGGAACTCAAAACGCGCCTTTGAGACGACATTATCGCGCTCTTGGGCACCGGGATGCCCCTTAGCGAGATCTGCAGCGTGCGCCGCAATCTTGTAGGCCATGACGCCATCTTTAACATCCTTTTTATTCGGCAGTCCCAGATGCTCTTTCGGTGTAACGTAACAGAGCATCGCACAACCGAACCAACCAATCATCGCTGCGCCGATTGCGCTGGTGATATGGTCATAGCCGGGGGCTATATCGGTTGTCAGTGGACCGAGGGTGTAGAATGGCGCATCATAACAGTGCTTGAGCTCCAGATCCATATTCTCTTTAATCAGCTGCATCGGTACGTGTCCAGGACCCTCAATCATTACCTGACAGTCTGATTCCCAAGCGATCTTCGTGAGTTCGCCCAACGTTTCCAATTCGGCAATTTGAGCGGCATCGTTTGCGTCTGCGAGGGCACCGGGACGTAACCCCGTCGCCAAGCGAGAAAGAAACGTCGTAGGCCTTCATGATGTCGCAAATCTCGCGGAAATTGTTGTAGAGGAAGCTTTCTTGATGATGCGAGAGGCACCATTTCGCCATGATGCTTCCGCCACGCGATACAATCCCGCAGGAGCGGTTTGCTGTGAGTGGAATGTACGGTAGGCGCACACCGGCATGAATGGTAAAGTAGTCAACGCCTGCTCGGCTTGTTCGATTAGAGTATCCCGATAAATCTCCCATGTCAACTCTTCCGCCTTGCCCCCCACTTTTTCAAGGGCTTGGTAGATCGGGAACTGTGCCAATCGGAACGGGGGAATTGCGAAGGATCCATTCGCGGGTTTCATGGATATTTTTCCCCGTTGACAAATCCATGACGGTGTCGGCACCCCATTTCGTTGCCCATCGCATCTTTTCCACCTCTTCCTCAATGGAGGAGGCGACTGCGGAATTGCCGATATTCGCATTGATCTTGACGAGGAAGTTTCGACCGATAATCATCGGTTCGGTTTCAGGGTGGTTGATATTTGCTGGGATGATTGCCCGTCCAGCGTGCGACCTCGTCACGAACAAATTCGGGCGTAATGAAATCGGGAATAAAGGCACCGAAAGATTCGCCGGGGTGTTGATGGTTCAAGTGATTCCGGGGGGCAGACTCACCCATGAGTGCCTCATACGCTTCAGCCCTTCCCAAATTCTCACGGATGGCGATAAACTCCATCTCTGGTGTAACAATCCCTCGTCTGGCATAGTGCATCTGGGTGACACATCCGCCTGCCTTTGCGCGAAGCGGTTTTTTTCCTAGCCCCGGAAAGTATTCCAAACGACCTTTCTGTTTTTCATGCCGGCTGGCGTACTGTTCGTGACCGCGGGTCAGATAACCGTTATCTTGTGGTTGGACATCGCGCCCCTCATATTCTTCAGTATCGCCGCGCGCTTGAATCCAATCCGCTCGCAACGGGGTTAGTCCCTGCTCGCTATCACATGATTGTACATCATCTCCCCACGGTCCGCTTGTGTCATAAACACGCAGCGGTTCATTGGTTTCCATTTCACCGTTAAATGACTGCGTGGGATGGAGCGAAATTTCGCGGAAAGGCACGCGCATATCTTCGTTCTGGCTGCCAGGAAACATAAACTCTTTTACTATTTGGAAAAAATTCATTTGATTTTTCAGTAGCCATCGTCTCAACCTCCTAATGCGGCAAACAAACGTCGATCGAAAAAAAACCGCTTTCCTGCATAAGGAAAACGGCTCGACAATACGAGTCAGGAACAACGAACGCTGCTCGCTACTCTGAAACTCATATTTCCCTACGCTGGTATTATCCAGATCAGGTCCAAAGGGTATATTCTCAGTGCTCCGGGTCAAATCGGAGCGCACCCCAACAAAGATTATAGATGACGCAGACTTGGCTTCATCGTTTTTTATTAACTCTCAGATAGCGTTTATTCTCTCTTTAGAATTATTACAGAATCTCCAATTCAATCTCAATGTTACAACGATTGCACGAGAAAGTCAAGAGAAAAATTAGATCCCCACCACTCATTTGGTCACTTGATACACATCACCACGGTTCATGAACTGTCCTCACCCAAACGTAGAGCTTCCCAACCTGCTGGTTCATATTCCTTAGCCAATTGTTCATGGAGTTCCTGATATTCCGAATCCGCTGCCATCTGAGCAATCTGCACATCAATTTCTTCCTGCTCCAAGTATTCTAAATACCGCTGTAGTGCTTGGATTAGCAGCGCGTTGCGGCTCGGTGCACACTTTTTATGAAGTGCTTTATTGAGTCTTTCCGAGAGTTCAATTGGAATGTCAATTGTTGTTCGGATTCGTTTGTTAGGCATTGAAATACCTCCTCATAGGCAAATATAGCATCCAACCACATAAACGCAAGTAATTTTTCCTTACAGACATCATGAGTAGTTGGGTATGCCGTGTTACCTCGGCAGCCAGAAGCCTCCATCCACCCGCAAACAGGCACCGGTAATATAGTCCGCCGCATCGGAACAGAGAAACGCCGCCGCTTTTCCGATGTCCTCAATCGTTCCCAGTCTGCCCCACGGTAGTTTTTTGCCACCCTCTCTCAGTTCTTCCTCCGTTGCAAAGTTCCGCTCACCCGGTGTGTCAGTCCACCCCGGTTCAATGACGTTGACGTTGATACGATGCTCGGTGAGTTCTGTCGCCATTGTGTATCCCATGTGGTTGATGCCCGCCTTCGCGGTATTGTACGCAACAGAACGTGCAAAGGGAATAAAGGCGTGGACGGAGCTGATGATCAAGATCTTTCCACCTTCGCCGCGTTCTGCCATGTGGCGTGCAGCGACTTGGCTGCAATGAAACACACCCCACATGCAGACGTCAATCGTCCGTGATACATCGGCAACGGGAATTTCGAGAAACGGCTTGCGAATGCTCATCGCCGCATTATTTACGAGGATGTCTATCTTTCCAAATCGATCGATCCCCTGCTGCACCATCGCCTCGACAGCATCTCGATCTGCAATGTCAGCACCAACAGTATGGCATTACGCCCTAGTCCTCGGACGATTTCAGCGACCTCTTCCGCTTCATCGGGATGGGTTCGATAGTTGATGACAATATCGGCACCGCACGTCGCCATCTCAATCGCACACCCACGCCCAATCCCGCGCGATGAACCGGTGATTAAAGCCACCTTCCCCTGTAAGTCAACCATTTTTTGTCCTTTCTCAAAGTGGAAAATCGAGTAGGCTCCCTTGCTTTTCCTCGTATCGTTTTTTACGTTTCACGCCTACAATTTCCACTCATCACCGAGGATAACCTCCAGTTGGTCATGCGGCTTGAAGTAATCGGTCGGGTGATAGTCCTCGCCCATGTATCCGAATAAGCGTTGCCGGCGTGGCGTCATTCGCTCTAGTACATGCGGCGGAAGCGTTTCGTAGTCGTAGGGACGGCTCCACATCTGGCCGTAACGGAAGGTGACACTTTTCCGAATCCGATCGGTTTTATTCGGTCCGACCGAGTGCCACTTGCGCCCACGGAAAAATAACGGCATCGCCCGGTTCGGCAAGCACTTGGATCGCTCCCTCTGGAATAAATCCGGGTTCCGGGTGTTCGGGAAAAGGCTCATTTTGACTGCCCGGCACCAACATGAAATTTGCGCTGTCCGGCTTTGATACATCGGTCAGGAAAAACTGAACCTTGAATTGCAGCGGGAGGCTTTGGGGGTGCGGGTGAATCTGTTGTAGTGAGGGTCCAGCATCCGTATGGAAACTCAGTAAAGGATCATCGCTGGGATGTCGAGTGTAGATCTGCGTTCCCATAATCTGGAGGTAGGGACCCATCAATGCGAGAATCGTCCCGAAGATGTTAGGGTGATCTGTTAAGACATCCAGCGCATCCGTTCTTTCGATCGCCCGAATGATGGTGAAAGCACCTCGACCAAACCGGGGGGCATCTGGACCATCCGTTTCCCGGACGTAGTCTTCAATAACCGGATCGACAGCGTCCAAAAGTGTGCGAATCTCCTCGGTGGAAAGCACCTGTTTCACAACGAGATAGCCTTGCTCATCCCAGTGTTTGCGCTGTTCTTCTGTCAAGTATCCGTTTACCATCGTGATTCCTCCTATTGTTCGTAGTCAATGAACCTTGAGATCTGCGTCGTCAACAACATTATAGACGATTTCGTGGGCGAGATCCAGTGGAAAGTGATTTGGCAAAATGTTGGCACTATTTTTTAATTGACGCGGGTGTATATATCCGTATAATGAATTCTGTCCCGGCTATTGGGCGCAGGTTTGTGTTGATAGAGAGATTTCAATTGAGGAGATAACTTATGAGCGATGCACTGTCGGTAGGAGTCATCGGTGCAGGGGGAATTGCCCGATCGCATATGAATGCAATCAAAGTAAACGACAACATCCGGATGGTCGCAGTTATGGATGTAGATACCGACCGAGCGGGTGCAGCAGCGGAGGAATTTGGTGCCAATGCCTATACAGACCTAGAGCCGCTTTTAGCGGATCCACAGGTAGAGGCGGTGCATGTCTGTACACCTCACGCTTTACATGCAGATCAGGTAGTTGCCGCTGCGGACGCGGGTAAGCATGTGTTAGTGGAGAAGCCGATGGCGTTGACGCTTGCAGATTGCGACCGGATGATCGATGCCTGCAATCGAGCCGGAAAGATTTTGATGGTGGGTCAAGTGATGCGTTACTACCCAGTAAACCGTACGATACAAAAAATGATTGCTGACGGACGAAATCGGGCGGGTAGGGCACCTGATACGGCGGCGATACAGCTATTTCAATCCCACACCGGCGGGGAGCAACTCTCGACATTGGTATCTCGATCTGGAAATGGGGGGAATTTGCGTCCTCTACTGCTTTGGACCGCACGAATACGACATTCTGCACTGGTATCTTAATTCGCCTGTAAGACAGGTCTACGCCCAAGGATCAGAGAGCACCGATCTGTACCGAGGACAGAAGGACTCCTACACCGCCATGATGACGCATGAAAACGGGGCAGTGAGTGTGTTGTCACAAACTGTTGTCTCTCACACCAGTGCCCACGATCAGTACATTGTCGGAAGCGAAGGCTCAATGATGCTAACAGGCGATAAGTTGACCGTCAATGGACAGGAAATATCGGTGGATGGGTCGAGCCGAGAGGGTATGCCTAACCAGATCCGGGAGTTTGCAACTTGTTGCCTTGAAGGCCGTGAACCCGATGCAAGTGGACACTCTGTGCGTCATTCGATGGCGGTGATTGAAGCAGCTAAACTAAGTGCTGAACGGAATGCGCCGGTGCAGATGTCTGAACTTGACAGAGATTAATAACTAATGGTGATAGTTTTCAACTGTTAATACGCTCCTCCGTCAGAGGCAAAGCGTGAAACGTGAAAATAGTCTGTTCATGGGCTCATTGGGTTGAGTGTTGGGTTTCACTAGATTGGAGCGATTTCGGGCAGCATCTAACGCCGCAATCTCAGTGTAATGTGTAGTATTTTTTATCGGTGTCGTTCAACCCAACCTGCGCTTAACTCTCGAACGATGTGGAAATGACATCTTCGCCAACTAGCACCAAAGGTTAATAAGCCAACGCAAGTTGCTCGCCCCAAAGCGATGAATGAGACGAAAGGAAATCCCTGTATGAAACCACGTCACCGAAAGTACGGCACTGTTGTTGGACCTCACCCTAGGACTGCCAACGCTGGTATGAATATCCTTCAATCGGGTGGCAACGCGGTGGATGCCGCTGTTGCGGCTGCTTTCACCGAAGGGGTCGTTGAACCGAGTCATAACGGTATAGCGGGTTATGGTGGATGCATGGTCATCTATTTAGCCGATCAGCGAAGGGTTGTCTCTATAGATTACAATACAATGGCTCCCGCCGCTGCGTCGGATCAGATGTTTACCATCGAAAAAACCGATACTCCGGCAGGCTACCGAGTGCCGGGAAGAGTCAACCTCCACGGACCCTTGGCAGTCGGTGTCCCCGGTGTGGTGGCAGGGTTATGTTTGGCACTTCAGCAATTTGGATCTATGCCACTCGCTGAAGTGATTAAACCGGCTATCCGATCCGCCCGCTATGGATATGTTCCTAACACCGCTAATCGAAACGGCATGGCTGGCAACGCGAAACGATGGCTTCAGGATTTTCCAGAGACTGCGCGTGTTTTTCTGAAAAATGGTCGGGCACCGAAGCCGGGTGAACGGCTTACAAACCCCGATCTCGCCCGAACGTTAGAGACCGTCGCCGAAGGTGGATCCCCTGCCTTCTATCAGGGTAATATCGCCCACAAGATCGCTGATTATATCCAAGAAAGCGGTGGGTGCTTGAGCGTTGAAGATCTTCAGCGTTATACACCGAGGGTGCTTGAGCCATACGAAATCAGTTATCGGGGATATCGGGCCTATACAGCCCCGCTTGGCGCAGGGGGATTGACCACCTTGCAGATGCTCCGGTTAATCGAGGCGTATGACGTTGGAAGTACCTCCCTCGTTGAACGAACACATCTCCTCGCCGAAGCGATGAAAATCGGTTGGCAAGAACGGCTCAGTCGATTCGGGGATCCCGATTTTGTGGAGATTGATATTTCAGCGGAACTTTCGGATTCATTCGTCTCTAAATTCGCACCACATCTGAAAGAGGGTTTGAAATCACCGAAGCCGGGTAAAATTGTGTACTATGAACCGCTCAATTGCACTAGCCACATCTCCACAGCGGATAGTCGTGGAAACATGGTGAGTCTCACACAAACGCATGGCGGCGGATTTGGCTCAATGTTTACTGTACCGGGGACAGGACTGCTGTTTGGTCACGGGGTCGGTCGTTTTGATCCGCGACCGGGTTTCGCTAATTCTATCGCTCCCGGCAAACGCCCGTTGCATAACATGGGACCGATGCTCGCGCTGCGGAATGACGCTCCTTTCGCCACTTACGGCATCCCCGGCGGTCGTACGATTCCGAACAATCAACTCAGTATCTCGGTGAATCTCATCGATCTGCAAATGACGGCTCAGGAAGCCTTAGATGCGCCTCGCATACACAACGAAGGGGCAGAACCGATTGGCGTCGAAGAGCGTGCTGGGGCAGATGTGCTCGAAGAGCTGCGAGGACGGGGGCATCAGGTCGAGCCACAGGCAGGAATCGGCGGACCCGGTCACGCCATTGTGCTTTCGGACGATCCGGCAGTTCAATCCGGGGGCACTGATCCACGAGGTGAAGGTCGGGTGGCATCCTTGTAGCAACACTGAATTTTGTATTCTAACCCAAGTTGCTACCCATAGGGTACGTTGCAAACCGAGAGAATGCGAGCCAAGTTGAGTTAGTCACCGCTCACAGTGGATTGACAAATCCATTGCCCACGCTCACCCCAAATGGCTTGGATATGTCTATCCAAGCCGAGCAGGATTTGAAAAAGTATGAATACTTACCAAACCAATCTTTTTATTAACGCACAAGCTCACCCTCCACCGGACTACGGTCCGGCGCAGAAGGCATTACTGAATCAGGATGCCTTTGCTGATGTGGAGACGGAGGTTACAAACCTGCCCGGCTATCAACCGACGCCGTTGATTGCGTTGAACGGTCTTGCTATGGCGAGCGGTGTCGGTGCCTTGTGGTGCAAGCACGAAGGATATCGATTTGAGGTGGGGAGTTTCAAACCGACGGGGCCCGTCTACGCAATGCTTGCCGTGTTGAAGGGTGAAATCAAAAAAACCACGGGTGTAGAAAGGGTTACGACGCAGGACTTGATAGATCGGAAGTATGAATCGGTAACGCAAGAGATTGTTGTCTCGGCGGCAACGTCGGGCAACCACGGGCGAGCGTTGGCGTGGGGTGCCCGTATGCTCGGTTGTCGGTGCGCCATTTACATGAACGATGGTGTCAGTATCGGCAGAGAGGAAGCGATTGCCGGCTACGGTGCAGAGGTGGTGCGAGTGCCGGGAAACTATGACCGAGCGGTGCAACGCTCTTTTGCGGATGCTGAGACATTAGGCTATTTTGTCGTCTCGGATGACAAGTCTGCCGAGTATCCCCACATCGCCCGCGAGATTATGCAGGGCTATGCAATGGTCGCAGACGAAATCGTTCAACAGTTCAGCGACGCCCATCCACCCACCCATGTCTTCGTTCCCGGCGGTGGTGGACGATTTGCCGGCGCGACTTGCGGGCATTTGTGGGATCGATATGGTAGTAACCATCCGCGGGTAGTTGTCGTTGAGCCAACCACGTCCGCCTGCCTATACCAAAGCATGGTCGAAAACAGGGCGGCAACCGTCAGCGGTGATGGTCGCTCAGTTATGGACGGACTGGTAGTTGAATCGGCTTCGTCCCAAGCGTGGGGTATTCTAAGGGATGGTGCTTTCGCTTTTCTTACTATCCCTGACGAAGCGGCTGTTGATGCCATATGGCAGGCGGCAGCAGGTGTCGGTGAGGATCCCTCGATCGTCATTGGTGAGACGGGGATCGCGGCGTGGGCAGGATTCTTGGCAGCGACTTGCGATGAAAATTTGCGCCAGCAGCTTGGGCTCGATTGTAGCAGTAGGGTCGTCATCATTGCGACGGAGGGAGCGACCGATCCAAAGGTTTATCACAACCTTGTCGGTGCAAGCCCGGAAGCGATTTTGGCGGGAACTAAACCTCAATCAACAGAATAGGAAGATTGCGAATGGCAGATTGTGTTCTCCAAACCTTGATACCAGACATCGAGCACTTGGCAGAAACAAAGGTTGCGAAATATAGACTTCCCGGCATGGCACTCGGCATTGTCCGTGACCAAGAACTCGCTTGGTTCGGCGGGTTCGGCGCAGCGGATCTTGATTTGGGCAAAAAGCCTACCGAAAACACGATTGCCCGCATCGCTTCAGTGACGAAAACGTTCACGATGACTGCCATTATGCAGTTACGGGATCAGGGAAGGCTCAACCTAGAGGATCCACTAGTGCAGCACATTCCCGAATTTGCTTCGGCGCGCGCTGTCCGTGGCGACCTTGAAGGTGTGACGCTCCGACGATTGCTGACGCACCGCTCTGGATTGGTCACCGAGTCGCCGACGCACGGTTGGAATGATCTCGACTTCCCAAGCCGTGAAGAGATGCTCGCCAAACTGCCGGAGACAGGGGTTGTCATCCCGCAGGACTCCGCTTTCAAATATTCAAACCTTGCATTTGGGTTACTCGGCGAGGTGTGTACCGGATCACCGGTACGCCATACACCGAATACGTTCACGCCAATATCATTGAGCCACTCGGTCTAACATCCACGGTTTTCGACCTCACGGACGAATTACGTCCTCACTTCTTCGTTGGCTATAACCCGACGCCTTACCAAGATCGTCCTGAACGTGCTCCTTACGCCCATCTGAACGGAATTTCATCGGCAGGTCAACTGCACTCCACCGTCAGTGACTTGGCAAAGTGGATCTCGTTCCAATTCCAAACCGATGGCGGGGATTGCTGCGGGGCACAGGTGCTCAAGGGGCGAACACTCGTGGAGATCCAACAGCCGCAATATGTCGAGTCGGACTGGTCGGCGGGGCAGTGCCTAGGTTGGCGGGCGACCCGCATTGGGGACCATATCTATCATAATCACGGTGGTGGGATTCACGGTTTTGGAACACAGGTGTGGTTTAATGTTCCGAGTAAAACGGGCGTGGTTGTTCTCATCAACATGTGGCCCCCGCACGGAGGTCTTGAGATAGCGCAGGAGGTACTTGAGATGGTGCTAGGTGCCGACGAAGCGGTGCAGCCTATACCAACGCAGCCAACGCTTGAACCAACGCCAGAAGCATTGCAGCGTTTCATCGGTTATTATCGTGCCGAACCGGGCATTGATGTGAACATCGAGGTGCGCGACAGCAGCTTACAGCTTGCGGGGCACGGTAGGTCTCCGTATTCCCTGCACGCCCCGGCAACCCTTGAACCGACTGACAAGGAAAACGAATGGCTTGTCCACGGTGGACGAGCAGCCGGAGAAATTGCTCTCTTTAAGTTTGACGATGATGACCGCGTGATAAGCTATGAGTTGGGGGCTTTTGTGTTCAAGAAGTTGGTGTGACGATCCCGTTGAACATGCGGCTTACCTTGCATGTCATACAGGATATAGTTTCCTGAATTATCCGCGAATTGCGCTACCGCATCCTTGAAATTCTGAGTACCCGATCATTCGGACTATAGGCAAACGGATACCATTCATAATAGGCAGCATAAGAGTAGTACGGATTTTTATTTTTATGCCATGCTGTATCAGTGCGAATTCCCTCGAAATACTCTAGATCTAATTGCCCACCCTTGACGACCCCTGAAACTTTGATTGGACGATTTTCCCTTCGGGCGGATGCTGTCATTTGCAGCATCGATCGGATACGAGGCTGGTTCTCGAAATTGACCGTCTCCCTACAGCTAACACCGTTGACAACAATCCTCCATTGTCCTTCGCTGTAGGGCATCGGTGGCAAGAAGTCACCGTGGTGAGCGGCTTCGGGAACCCCAAGTATTGATATGCGTTGTCCTTCGTGACCACTCAGTTGTATCCCCAAATTATCAACGGAAATGGATTGATATGTCTTTCCACATCCTAGCCAAGTCGTACAACCCCAGCATAGAAGTAGAATAATCTTTACCGATTTCACCCTTAATCCCTCCTCAATTGACAGATGAATCTTTTGGGTAGGATAATATACATTGTATGGTCGGTCAAGCCATAATACTTTCCTAGCGACTGGCTTGCCGACCAATCGGCACTCAATCGACTTGCCAGTAAAAGACTTCAGGCAAACCTTCGGGATAAGCGTTATCAGGATCGTAAGTTTCGCCGGTCGCACTTTCCATGATCGGTGCCATGTATTCTTCCCAGCGTACAGAATCGTCACTCTCTGCCAGAATACGAGCGGCTTCCGTGTAATCCTCTACCTCCATGTAAAGGAAAAGTTGCAAGCCAAACATGAAGATACTCATTTTATGAACGCCTGCCCGCTGTAAATCTGCTAGCACTTCTTGCCAAACCTGTTGGTGTCGTCGGATGTATTCCTCTTGCTGCCCTTCCTTCGCACGCATAACAAAAGCGACACGCTGCATTGGCATCCTCCCTTGAGATCGCTATTCCTTAGCCCCCGGTATCGGCATGGTACTGAGCAACCCTCCATCAATATCAAGGGCAACGCCTGTTAAAAAGGCTGACGCATCGGATAAAAAGAACATAACAGCGTTAACCACATCCGCCACGGTGGCATTGCGCTTGAGTGGAATGCCTGCTGCGGTTTCTGCGAGGATTTCATCGGTCTTCTGACCTGTCGCGCCAATTTTCCAGTCGAGAACTGTGTGCCCCATGCCGGTCGTCGAAACACCTACCGGACAGACGCAGTTGACAGTCACCTCGTAAGGTGCCAACTCGGCAGCCAACGCCTTGGTCAGACCGACGACGCCGAACTTGGCTGCACAGTAGGAGAGGATCATCGGACATCCAACTTTTGCCGCATCGGAACCGATGTTGACGATACGCCCACGCCGCCCACTTTCACACAACAACGGCGCGGCTGCTTGGCTGCACAAAAAGGGGCCCTTCAGATCTACATCCACCACGCGGTCCCAGTCCGCCTCACGAATTTCTGCCAGTGGTGCGAAGTGGATGACACCCGCGGAGTTGATCAGCGTATCCAGTCCGCCGAAAGTTTCTTGGCAAGCCGCCACCGCTGCCTTTACTGAAACGGGTGAGGTAACATCGAGTTTTAAGGGCAGTACGTCGTCGGCGTTATCCAAGTTTCGGACGGCTTCTTCCAACCGCTCGGAATCAATGTCGCCGATTGCTACGCGTGCCTGCTGGTCAAGCAGCGTCCGCGCGATAGCCAAGCCGAAACCGCTAGCACCTCCAGTGATGAGAACACGACGCCCGGCACCTTGCATATCCGACATTTCCTCAACTCCTTGTATAGACTACCCCGCGACGTGACAAAGTCAAGCTACTTTTGTCGGACAAACTTCTGCAAGCGATGATCGACCTGCACTTCGCTGACATAGAGATCGCCGTGCGAATCCACCCAGATACCGTGTGGACAGGCGAAGAACTCGCCGGGAACGGTGCTGCCGCGTTCGCTGCCCCATTGGGCAATGATCTCACCATCAAGCGTCAGAATTGTGACGCGCTGCGCCAACTCCGCAACGTAAACAATATCGTCGTCATCAATAAAGATGGTGTCTGGCTCTAGGAATCCGCCCCACTCCTCGATATATTCGCCATCAAGCGTGAAAAACTGGATGCGGTTGTTGTTCCGATCTGCAACCATTACACGGTTGTGCCGATCTACCCGGACGCAATGCGGCAGATCGAATTCGCCCGGACCCGTCCCCGGTGATCCCCAAGACATAATGTACTCGCCATCGGGGGAGTATTTGTGCATCCGTGCGTTTCCGTACCCATCGCTGATGAACATTTCGCCGTCGGGACCGAGCGCAAGATCTGTCGGTAAATTGAAAGGTTCACCTTCCGCACCGGGCTGATCGGGAGTTCCCAACGTCATCAGGAGCTCTCCGTCAGGGGTGAATTTGTGCATGACATGCACCTCTCGCTCGACACAATAGATATTATCTTCAGCATCAATGAAAATGCCGTGCGAGTCCTTGAGGATATCCTCTCCCCACGACGCAAGGAAGTTGCCTTCGCGATCGAATACAACCATCGGGCGTTCGCTTCGGCTATAAACATAAATCCTGTCTTGTGAGTCCACCGCAACTGCGGGAATCCAACCAAATTTCCAACCTTCGGGGAGTTGTCCCCAACCTTCTTGTACCTCATAGGTATGGCTACCTGAACCATATATCATAATACTATACCTCCAAGACTTAGAATTTGAACAATCCGTGAGTTAAATTACGAATCCTGCCTAACGGTATGGTATACTTTTCTGAGTACAATCAATTTGAAATCCTTCCCATCTCTTTTAAGAATGCTCTTAGAAAGTGTACCTATAGTTAAAGTTAAAAGGGGAAAAAATGAAAAAAGATTTAATCCTCCTGTTGACAACAGCAGCTTTTATACTGCTCGGGTGTGCCCAATATTCGGGGGAGGTCAATGCGGTTGCATCAGCGAAAGATTATTCAGATGATCGCATCCTTACAGTCCTGCCGTACGACGCGATTCCCGCAATCACAAACCCCGAATTTGTCTCAGCCAACGAAGCGAAACTGGCGGCTGATTCGCCGGTCATTGGTGTTAGTTTCAAGGGCGAAAGCCGCGCCTATTCGATCCATCTGCTTAACGGACACGAAATCGTCAACGATGAAGTCGGCGGCGTCAAGATTGCGACGACGTGGTGACCGCTCTGCAAGACAGCTATCGTGTATAGTCGTGAACTTGATGGAAAAACCTACACATTTGGCGTTTCTGGCAAACTTTTACGTGATGCGCTGCTTATGTATGACCACCAAACCCAGACCCTTTGGTCACACATCACTGGTGAAGCGGTGGAAGGTGAACTCAAGGGGAAGCAGTTAAAGATGTTAGCCGGTACACCGCGAATCACATGGAAGGATTGGAAACGCAACCATCCATTGACAAAAGTGCTCTCTGTCCCAAATGTTTTTCGTCGTCCGGAGAGACGCATCCAAGATGTAAGAGCCGATAACTACGCTAGGTATCATGCCAGTCCCAACGCAGGTATAAGCGGCACACAGTATACTGATGGTCGCTTGATGAATAAAGAGCTAGTTGTTGGCGTCCGCATCAATGAAAACTATCGCGCTTATCCTTTCACGGCTTTTAAGAAGCAATCGATTATCAACGACGAAGTAGGTGACGTGCCGTTACTAGCCTTTCACGATTTGGAGTCGAATGCGACCGCCGTTTTTCTCCGCACTGTGGACGGACAAACATTAAAGTTTGAGCCAGCGCAAGGTTACTTCGTTAAAGACACCACAACGAAGACAACATGGAAACCTTATCACAGGGATGGCAACGGAAGGCAAACTCAAAGGACACACGCTAGAGCGATTACCGGCGATGAATATCTACTGGTTTGCTTGGGCGCGCTACCATCCCGAAACAACTGTCTATGAATAAGGCTTTATTGCCTGTTACACTTCCTATCATCGGATATTTGGTATTATACCACAACTATCGATGTTAATGGAAACGTTTGTTTTCGTACAAATCGGAAAGCAAATCAAATCGGAGAGTTAAACAATCTGACACCAAAACTATACGATTGCACAATTGCCAAAAATGGAGTAAAATCTTCTGTGTGATGTACCAAAGTACTTGGCCATAAATACCCTCAAAGTAAAAAGGGAGCAACAGATGAAGGATCGATTAAGAGTTGGCATTGTTGGCGCACGCAGAGGAGCGGGGCATATCCGTCCCTTCACAACTATTACCGAAACAGAAGTGACCGCAATCTGTGATCTGAGCGAAGATACTCTTCATGAGGTCGGAGATCGATTTAGTGTTCCGAAACGGTTCACAGACTACGAAGAGATGCTCGCAGATGATATTGATATCGTCGTGCTTGGGACACCCGAAAATCTGCATGTGCCGCAGTCTATTGCGGCAATGGAGGCAGGGAAGCATGTGGTCAGCGAGGTGACGGCGGCAACCTCCATGGAACAGTGTTACGAGTTGGTCAGAGCGGTGAGAAAGAGCAAAACGAAGTATATGATGGCGGAGAATAAGTGCTATACGCGGTCAAATATGCTGGTCGGAAACATGGTGCGCCAAGGCTTGTTCGGAGACATCTACTTTGGTGAGGGTGAATATCTTCATGACATCAAAGTGCTGCATCACGACAGCAGTGGCAATCCAACCTGGCGATATTATTGGCAGGTCGGAATAAACCGATGCAACTATGCGACGCATAGCCTCGGTCCGGTGATGGACTGGTTTGATGAACGGGTTGTTTCGGTAGTGTTGTCTTGGGACTAGCGTGCACACCGACCCAGAACACGCTATGGAAGACACCGTGATGATGTTGTGCAAGACCGAGAGTGGGGCTCTGATTAAGATCCGGATTGATATGCTCTCCAACCGTCCGGCGAATTCATACCTAAGTTTGCAGGGAACGAAGGGTTGTTACGAAGGCACACGGGGATTGGGGGATGTGGAGAAGGTTTGGTTGGCAGATTATCATCAACAGGGCAAGTGGCAACCGCTGGCAGACTTTGAGGAGGAGTTTCTACCGGAGAGTTGGAAAAATCCGCCAGAGGAAGCGGTGAAGGCTGGAGATGTGACTGAGGAATATTTCGAGATGCGCGGTTTCGTCGATAGCATCATTAACGACACCAAGTCGCCAATTGATGTCTATGACGCTATGGATTTCACAGTGCCGGGACTGGTTTCTGAGGAATCGATTGCGAATGGCGGAAAGCCCGTTGAAGTTCCTGATTTTCGGGATATTGACTAGATCCTGTTGACATTTGGGTGTCGAGATATGAATCTCGATCTACAGAGGTGGTGCGTTTCGGTACATATGTCGCCCCGTTGGGGCTTTGGGGGGGAGATTTCTCGTACCTCAGAAATTGAGCCTGAAACCGGCTTCAACCGAGGTTTTCTGAATTGGCTCAAACTGTGTCTTACCTGCCGCATCTTCTACCCGCCGGAAACGATATTCGCGGAGAACTGCGACCTCAAACCTCGGAAAGATCTCATATCCGATTCGCACGATGAACGCGGATTTACTATCGAGACGGAAGAGATCCTCGAAAAAGCCCGGATCTTTGCTCTCTTCTTTCTCTGGAAAACCAGGATCTGGCTCGCCGATGTTGCGTTTGACATAGAATGCCCGGAACGATGTCCGTTCAGCTATACCAGATTCTGTGATACCAAGGTATAACTTTGGTTCTGTGTTGGTATAATCCTCAAAAGTCGCAATGAAATTGACCTGTGGAATCGGTCTCACGGCGATCATCGAGAAGTAACCTTGCCTTGCTTGGGCTGCATCGTCATCTTCATCCATCCCCAAAAAGTCAGGAGCAACGCCTTTGGCAGCGTCGTAGGTGTAGTCAAAAATGGTCGGGTAAAATTGTGCGCCAAAAGTGCGGTACTCCAACTTGAAAAGGGCTTGGGAAAGCGATACACCGATTCCGATAGCATTTCCCATCGCAACATCATTTATCTCATCAATCTCTTCCGTTTTCGATCCCGGTTTCGTGTTTAAGACAGCAACATCATCATATATATCCAAACGCAGTGACTTGTTGTGAACAAGCGGGAAACCGATATCGACCCCCAATGCGATAAGCGGATCTCCGCCCGGAATCAGACTCGGATCGGGTTCAATGTCCGTTAGATAGGTTGCGCCCAATTCAAGACTGTTGAGGAGTGGCATACCCCCCTCCTCCTGTTGCAGAGGACGAACAAACATCCGCCCGCCGAAAACGGTTGGATCGCCGACGTTATTAATGATTGTTTCAACCCCAATCTTTTTCGTCTCCGAACTGAGGTTTAGGCGCAAGCCCCGGCGATCATAGTTTGAATATCCCGACATAATGAACCCGTGCCCGATAGTGGCGTAGTCCAACGCACCGAAAACGGGTGTAAAACGATTCGCTGAGATGGCCATAACGCACATAGCGCACAATCCGAAGGAGGGTACTTATATCGTCCCAAGTCTCGCCATCTTCAGCGAGGATTGCGTGTTCGCCATCATCAGAGGAACTGTAAAGCAGGACAAGACCGAGCCCAAATCCAACTTTGCCGAGATCTATCTCCGGCTGCAACTGAAACCGTAGGAACGGTTCGCCATTGATGAAGGTGAATCCCAATCCCGAAAGTTCTCCCCTACTCAAAGCCATTTCTTCTGGATTCGGTGGTCCCCATACGACAGCACTGTTTCGCCTGCAATTTCACTTTGCCCGACCTGTCCATAAGTTGCCAAGACGAAGCCCAATGATAACATTCCTATCCAAATGGCAACGCACTTGCCCCGGTTCATAAATTTCCCCTAAAAATTTTGTATAAGTTCTTGTCCAAGTAGATAATTCTCTCCATCGATTTGTAGTAGTATCCCCTTATTCAAAGACACGGAACAGAATATCAAAAACCGGATGATCATCAACACGATGGCTGAATTTATCCCGACACAGCGTTATCTTTCCACGCCCGCTTTGGAACTTGAGGCGGATTTTAATTGTGGTACTCGGGATCAGCGCATCGAGTGCAAAAACTTCATAAAAGTCTTGTCGTTCTTCCGGTTTGAGGCTGATAGGGAGGCTGTTGCGGAATAAACTTGGAAAGAGTATCGCGTGTGGTACTTGGTATAATTCCGTATCTTGCCACCTGTGTCCAATCTTCGCTTGGAACTGACACGCTTGAATTGTAACAGGGACCTGATCGCCCTCGTTATAGATACGACACGAAACGAGAAACAGCAGATGTCCACCGCGTGTAATAAAGCAGTTCGCCTGTTTTGTTAGTAGCTCGACTCTGAGATGGCTTCCGCGTCGCCTTCGACTGTGGGTTCGCCTGCCGGCGCGGTCTGCATAGAGGTCATAGATCCATTTGGAGGCAGCAAGTATAACAGCGATAATACTGAGAATGAGGGCAATTGTTGCACGGTCCATTAGTGATTCAAAATTATCCTTACGTCAGTTACCCCACCCTGAAGGGCTGGGGCTTGTTGCCCGTTTCCCCGGGATTTACAAGGTTCTACGCTTCTTTCCTCTCAAGCCATGCAAACAGTTTTTTCGCTTGCTTGATAGTCGGATATATTCGATACTGATAGGTTTTAATCATTGGGATTGTCTTTCTGTCTTTCATATCCATACTACTGGAGTGTGGGAGACCCTAACGTGCGTTAGGGGTAGCATTCTCCCACGAAAGACAAGGCAATTATACCATTTTTTCTAAGATTTTACAATAAAAAAGGAGGCGCAGTTTCCTCCCCACCCTAAAGGAATAGGGTCTCCACTGCGAAGATTTGATGAAACGTAAGCCGCTTTTCCACTTCACGTTTTACACATCAGATCTGTGTTTCAAGGAGGGCAATGCTCCTCGGATCTAGCTGATGATAGTTGACAATTTCGTATCGATTGCCATCAATATCCTTAATCAGTACGCGTCCGCCATCAAGCGAGGTGATGTCATTCCGAGAACGCAGATCGAAAGAAACGGAGCCTACTTCAGTTTCAGCTTCCCACTGGGTGACACCGAACTGCCCCGCAAAGGGCATGAATCCTTGTAATTTTCGGCATAAAATAGCATTTTTCCAACTCTTCTGCAAGAATTGTCCGATCCACCTTTTTTAACTGCTTTATATCCTCAATCAAGCCGAGCTCGTTTTTTTCGGCGTCAAGCAAGCTGATATACTGATCTGGTTGGGTCAATGGAAATGTGCGCACTGGCTCAACAGGCGCGTGAACTGAACCGTCCGGCAGTTCCGCTTCCAGCTCTGCAAACTGGTTGCGGCTAATCTTTAAGCGTTTGGGATCAAGAAATTGGACCTCATCTTCGATCTGAAGGGGCTGCTCCACTGCATCTACTCCCTTTACATTTCGCTCATGTTAAGAAATCGTGCAACAGAAACTGTAGGGTTCAACGATCGTTGAACCCTACCAAAAACTCGGTTTCTCTTCGTTTCGCGTTTCGCTCCTACCATGCCCGAATCTTCGAGAGCTCCATCTGCTTTTCACATAAGTTGGCGTAAGTGCCGCCTTTGGCGATGAGTTCCTCGTGTGTGCCAATCTCATCAACTTGCCCTTCTTTGAGAACAACCAGACGATTGGAATGTTTGAGTGTCGAAAGGCGGTGTGCAATCGCGAAGACGGTCCGTCCCTGAATCAGCCGTCCCAATGCCTCTTGGATTCTCGACTCGGTCTCCGTATCAACAGACGAGGTTGCCTCATCAAGGATGAGAATGCGCGGATTTTTGAGGATAGCACGAGCAATGGAGATTCGCTGACGTTCTCCGCCAGAAACGCGTGTCCCTCTTTCACCAACCATCGTGTCGTAACTATCGGGAAACTTAATGATGAAATCGTGGGCGTTTGCGGCTTTAGCTGCAGCGATAATCTCTTGACGAGTTGCATCCGGTTTTCCGTAGCCGATATTGTCGGAGACGGTGCCTTCAAACAGGAATGGATCCTGTAACACTACCCCAATTTGTCCTCGCAGAGACTTAAGTTCAATATCGCGGCTATCATGCCCGTCAATGAGAATTTCACCTTCGTTGGGATCGTAGAATCGGGTGACTAAATTGATGAGGGTGCTCTTGCCTGCACCGCTAGGTCCGACGAGCCCGATCATCTCTCCCGGTTTGGTGGTAAAGCTAATACCGTTGATGGCGTTTTTCTCAGTATCATAAGAGAAGAAAACGTCGCGAAATTCAACCTGCCCCCGCATATTTGGAAGGTCAATAGCATCGCTGCTACTCGCAACACTAGGCGGCGTGTCGAGGACCTCAAAGACCCGTTCAGCAGAAGTCGCGGCTCTCAGGAACCGGCGGTTCATCTGCGCAAGCGTTCGTACGGGCTGTAAAAACCGGGTCATATAAGTCATGAATAGCATAATCTCACCAAGCGTTAAATCTCCGTTGAGGATCTGGCGTCCCCCAACGAACCAGATGAGCACTGTTCCAATATAGGTCATGAAAGTCATGATCGGCTGATAAAGTGTCCACAGTTTAGCGGCATTCATTTCCCCTTCAAAAACCAGATGTGCCTGTTTTTCAAAACGGTCGACTTCGTATTTCTCACGGGTAAACGCCTTAACAACCCGTATCCCTGGAATCGTACTCGCCAAAATTGTGCTAATTCCAGCGTAGCGTTTCCACAGAACGTGGAAAACCTTGTGCATCTTGTGTCCAAAGTAGAATGAGAAAAGGATAATCAAGGGAATCGGAAGCAACACCCAAAGTGCCAGCTGCCAGTTAATGACAAACATGATAATGCACATATAGACCAGCGCCATTGAATCGCCGATAATATCCTGCAACCCTTCAGCGATAAAGTCTCGCAGCCGTCCGATGTCCTGAGTGATGCGTGACATCAGATTTCCCGTCTCCCGCTGTTGGTAGAAATCGAGCGAAAGGATACTCATATGTCGAAAGGCATCATTCCGCAATGTCAGCGTGATGCGCTGACCGACCCACGTCATCATGTATCCCCGGACTGCTGAGAAAACTGCCGTGAAAACGTGCGCTCCAACCATCAGCAGCACAATCATCACCAGTTGTTCAAATGCGCCCGGTTCGACCAGCTGTCCTCCTGTTATTGCCATCATTGCAGGAACAAGGATGTCATCAATAAGCGATTTACTCAGAATAGGGGGATAGAGGTCTACAAGCCGTATGACCAGCATGATTAGTAGTGCCGGAACAGAAACCTTCCAAAATGGGATCGCGTATTTTAGCAGGCGGACGAGGAGTTTCCCCTTCTCGACGCAGTTCGGGCAGACATCAGACCATCGCGGGATCGGGCGTCCACAAGTTTCACATCTAATCTTCTTTTTTCCGGGATCGACATATTTCCGATGTCGTTTAGATGTTTCCGCCTCCGGCTTGACTTTGTCAATCAACAATTCGATTTCCGGCGTTGCCTCGGCAAACTTAGGAGCGAGCCGCTTAGAGTAGCGAGCAATTTCAAGTGCCCCCTCTGAGGTTCGCACTTTCATGAAGTTATTGCCATGCAACTCTCGTATTTCAATACTATCAATGGCTTCAAGTGCAATGTTCTGGATTTCAGGTGTAGGCGCACCGTTTTGGTTAAAAGCGAGCAAGCGTTTATCCGTTGCTAACACCCAATCTTTTCCGTAAGTACCATCAACCTGTAGATCTGTTGAGATAGCAATTTTAATCTCTTCTTCTTGCTCCAGCAAATCTTCAAGCTGATCTTGGAGTGCTGTTGGGACTTCCTCTAAAGTTGTCGTCTCTACATCGGACCGTCTAGTAGCACTCCTACTACCGGAAGAACGAGCCATTCGATGTATGTCCCGTCTAGACCCCCCCCCACTGTGCATAAAAGAACCTCCTTGTTGAGCAAAAAACGAAACCCGTACCAACGGAATTTTGGCACGGTTCTTTTTGGACGACGGAACATAGAAAATGTTGAAGGAAAATCAAGGAAGGGCAATGCGACGTATCAGGAAAACACAGAGAAGGTTCAGAAAGGGGAAGAAAATCGAGTTAGCTCATGTCAAAAAAAAGCGCGAAACACGAAAAGCGTGAAACGTGACGTTCCGAACCGAGAATCCACGACTCCGTCCGTATTGTTCTAATCCAACGGAATCGGGATCTACGACCGAGAGTCCGAAAGTTGTTCCCTACGGTGCTGTTGCACGACTTCTTAACATGAGCCATGAGAGACTTATCAGGGAACGTACGGTGTGCATTAGCAGCCGGTAGCGATAAATATCGCAACCTTCTGGACCAAATTACCGTCCTGCGCCATCGACGAAAGGAACAACATCGGTGCAGAATATACGGTGTAATGCGGGGTTGCATTAATAAGCAGGTCCAATTGACCGTCGCCATCCAGATCTCCTGTCCAGAGCAGGGTAGGTATGGCACCGTGCGTTGATCTATATGCGAGCAGTTCCTGCGATAATTGTCCCTTCGATAGTTCAAGGCTGTAGTTTTCGAGTGAAGTAAACCCGTTCGGTCCTATATCTCCCTCGCCATAAGCTGTCAAATGACTTTCGTTCTTGTCGTCCAATCTAAGGTTGAGGGACTTACCGGGACTCAAAATTGTCTGTTCAGCGGATAGTGTCTTAATGGATTCTCTTTCGGGTGCATCCAAACCTTTTATCAGAAAAAGCGGGCGCACCCGCCCCTCCACCGAAACCACTTTTCCGGTCTTCTCCCCAGCATTATCAACGAATGGGTCATAAACGGTTTCCACTGTAATCCTCGAAGGGATTAGCGTGTATCCATCGGGCATCGAATACAATCCCAGCCAGACTTCACCTGATCCTGCTGAAACCTCATCGCCGTGAAATACACCGACTTGTAAGAGTTGAATTTCAGATTCTACAGGCGATGCCGCTGATTGGTCATTACAACCAAACATAACGCAACAGATCCATCCCGCCCAGAAAATAGACATCGTAATTGTGAATGACATACGGACTAACATGATTTTATTCCTCCCTACCTCAACTTGTGTTTCAGCTTACCCATTTTCAAAGGTTTCAAAACTGTGTCACATTTTGTTGCGCAAGATGCGCGCCAAAACCATCAATAGCGCGTAAAACGTGATGTCCCGTTCCGAGGATCCCGATCTATCGGGACGTGAAACGTGAAAATTATTAGTTCATTGGTTCATTAATGAACTAAATCGGTTGCTGTTGCACGACTTCTTAACATGAGCCAACTAAGCTAGGAGGAGAGGGAAAGGTGTCTCAGTTCAGTGACACTTGGGACAAGCGCACACGGGATGGTGTGTCTCTAAACACACACCTATTCATCTGAAAATTCTAAGGGCTTGAATTTTTGGAAGGTACGTGCTATACTGAGTACGTACGATAAATGAATTGACCAGATAAACACCAATATAAGCGATGTTAAGTGCAATATACACTAAATCATTTGAAGGGACCTGATTCAATGGGAAAATGGATTGTTCTTTTGCTCCTTGTCGCCGCTCTGTGTGTGTGGCAGGCAGGCGAAATATTTGCTGTGGGTTTTTTGAAGTTTGAGCGGGAATTCAGTGGGAAGGGCTCAACAGACGGATTTTTTAGCAAAAATATTCATGTGGGATTTGACAACACAGGCAACATTTATGTCAGCGACGCAGATAACCGGCTGGTCCAGAAAACTGTCACCAACAGGCAAATTCATCATGCAAATTCCGAAAGAGAAAACTGTGCACAGCATACTCAGAAAGCCGGGCGATGTTGCTGTCGATGGTGATGGCAATATCTACGTTGTTGATCAGGCTATACCCCATCATATCCCGGAAACTGCGGACCCGAAACTCTATTGGTTTGGTCCCTGTGTTTATAAGTTCAATCGAGATGGCGAACTAATGCACACCTACGTTGTCGATGCGATTGACGTACGCCCCAAAAGTAGTTCTGCCCACGCGCTTGATGATTGACGAGGAAGGTAAAACAGCATTCGCCTATCAACCGAGGAACTATGATCGGTCAGTTCGCATTGATGTGAATAATCAAAACCAACTGTATGTGCTGGATGCGAAAAACGCAAAGGTTCACAAATTTGGTGACGGACGGGGAGAAATTAATCGCGTTTGGGAGATACGGTGCAAGCAACGGCGAGTTTGACAGCGATGCCTCAGACATTGAAATTGATGCTGAAGGGAATGTGCTTATTGCGGACACCGGCAATCATCGTGTGGTCAAGTTTAACGCGGACGGGAAGTTTATATTGAAATTTGGGGTAAAGGGACGTGGCGAGGGAGAATTTGTCAAGCCTATCGCCGTTGTCGCTTTGGCAACGGGTGAGATTTTGGTTAAAGATAAGAGCCAGTTCAAACGGTTTTTGGGAAGTCCACTCGCAAATTTTTTGGATGTGGTTTCACCGTCCGGGCAGGGGCTCGCTGATACTTATTCAACCGGCACAGGACTTGTCAATTCGATCATTGATACCACTCGTCCACGCTCTGCCTCTCTTAGCCCAAATTCGCAGTCGTCAGATCTGGCTATCCTACATCGGCGGATTCGTCTGCTTGAGGAAGCGGAATATCGCCGTTACCTCAACGAATATCTCGATGAAGAAGATGAGAAAGACGAAAACAAAAAAGAGGAGGCGGAAGATCTGAAGATTAAAGGATTCGTGAGACAATCTATCACAACGTCATTGCGCGTGTACAGCGATTTAGTAGTAACGGAAAATATAAAGGACGTGTGGTTTATGAAGTGGATAGACAGAGCGCGGAAGACCATGATCTCGCTTTCCTTACCTTAGATCCCCTCGGTCACATTTACCTTCGCGACGGGAGTAATTTAATCATTCGTCAATATTCCATTGAAGGTTTTACGATTAAGCCGTCGCATATGAACGCGGTTTATAATACTCGGGCACTCAACCGCGATCATGACTTCCTCGAAGATTACGAGGATATCGACGATGAAGCAGACGTTGATGACCAATTGAATCTGTTACAGTTGAACAACTCCTTCTTTTGGACATATAACCTCTCGGAAAGCTGGAACCTGACCCTTGCGGATGTCTTCACCTATGGAGAGCAGGATGAACGCTATATAACACCTCCGAAAGAGGAAGATAGCTACGATTTTGAAACCCAAGCGTTGACGAACACCGTCGTTGCAAATCTGAAATTTATCACAAATCCCAATGCCTACCACTACAAGGAAGTCAATCTTTATGCTGAACGGATTGATGGTACAACAGACCTTTATCAACAAGCACTCTTCCCAAATCTGAACCGCCAAGGTCAGGAGGGAGAAGGTGATGCGAGTTCTACAGCTTTTGGGGTGAATTGGGACGTATTCACGGATGTCAATCTGTGGTTGGAATACACGGATTTGAATCCGGCGGAGACGAGTCGTAATTTTGTGCGTCGTTATTTTGATGCTTCGGGTAATCTCTACGAGGTCTTTAGCAGCAGCAACCGGGCGAAACAGTTCGTGGGTGAATTGACGGTTAAGTTTTAGGTTCTGATCGCGACCTGCCCAATTTTGACATCAAACGCCGAAAAACAGATGTCAACCCTTCCGAAAGTGTAGCGGTTATATCCACACCTCAAGTCTGGATCTGCTAATCGAGACCAGCAATGTCAAGCCTTCTCCTGACAACGACACAGCCCTTCCAAAACCCTCCCTCCTAGAAATTTGTTTGACTTTACCCACAAATTTTGCTACACTGAACGCCCTGCGAAAAGGGCGTGTTTTTCAATTACCCAAAGGATGGTTGAAAGACATAGATGGTATCAAGCAAATCAATTTCCGTTATGACAAATGTTACTCTAATGGGTCAAGAATCCTCAAACGACAGGAGAAAACAATGTCTCACAAACGCAAAAACGTCGTCAAATTTTTCGCAATTTTAGGTTCAGCGGTATTACTAATCGCGCTGACAGCAACTTGGACGCTGACGGAGGAATCCAACTGGTATCCCTCCAAATGGGGAAAAGATGATCAACGCGGTGCAGCAAACCTGCTGACGGCTACAAAGGTTTTGGAAGCTGCCAGCCTGATTAAGGAAGGAAAGTCTACCAACTCGGTCGGTTTACGAAGCGGGTATGCCGCTGTTTGGGACACACGCCACTATAGCTTGTTGATCCCCCAAACCGGCAGCACCGATCACGCAAATAAAGTCACGTGGCATGATGAGATTGTCAGTGGCGAAATTGGACAGATTGGCACCCAATTCGATGGATTGGGACACCTCGGTATCGGCGATCTTTACTACAACGGAAACAATCGCCTCGATTTTGCCAAGCCCGATGGATTGAAGAAACTGGGTGTGGAGAATGTCGGTGTGTTCGTTACCCGCGGGGTTCTCATTGACGTTGCCGGCTATAAAGGTGTCGAGCATCTGGAGGGCGGCTACGAAATCACGGTTGAAGATATAGAAGGCGCGTTAAAAAAGCAGGGTGTGGAGATACGTCCGGGCGATGTGGTCATTACTCATACCGGTTGGGGTAAATTCTGGATGACGGACAATGAACGCTATAACGGATCGGAGCCCGGTATCGGTATGGACGCGGGCAAGTATTTGGTTGAGAAACAGATTGTTATGGCGGGTGCAGATAACTGGGCAATTGAAGTGATCCCGAACCCTGACGAATCAATTTTTGCCCCGGTCCATCAACTGTTCATTGCCAAAACCGGCATGTATAACATTGAGAATCTCATCACCGCAGAGCTCGCAGCGGATAAGGTCTACGAGTTCGCCTTTATCTTCGCCCCGCTAAGGCTCAAAGGCGCTACTGGATCTCCGGGCAATCCGATCGCGATTCGCTGAATCGGGTTTCGGCTATTCCCTTTTGATGACTTTAGAGAAGGAAAGCCATGATGAAATACTTGAATGCGGTGAGGCAGTCCTCGGAGTGTTCGCTGCCCTTGCCTGTCTCACAGTGCCCTTTTCAGGTTGTGCTTCTAAAGAATCAGAACTGGAAAAGGGCACAAGTGCCTTTCTCAAAGTGGATGATTATGAGAACGCATTAAAATTGGTTGAGGGTTTTATTTTAGAGAACCCGGAGAAACCGATTGGGCATGCCATGTTGGCAAAGGTACTTGCTGCAAATGGGCAAACCGAGAAAGCACTCAAAGCATATTATCAGTTTTATAAGCTGGGTGAAACACTCTCTGAAGAGCTGCTACTTGAACTACTGCTTGGTGCTCTCAACGATGATAGCTGGGAGGTACAATCGCATGCTGTGTGGGTGTTGAAAGAATTGGGAGATGACCGTGCTGTCCCTGCTCTGATAAACCTTCTCAACCATGAACGATCGGATGCCGCAGAAGCATTGGGAAAATTAGGGGATAAAAGTGCGGTGCCCCATTTGATCAATGCCCTCAACCATGGCTCCTGGTCGGTACAGGAGGATGCCGCAAAAGCGTTAGGAAAATTAGGGGATAAAAGTGCGGTGCCCCATTTAATAAAACTCATCACCTTACAACGGCGCGGTAGGAAGGTTTGCAGAAGAAGAGTGGAGAAAGTGGGAGATAAGCGCGGTGAGTCCGTTTTGATAAACGCTTTTCAACCATGACAATAGCACCGTACGAATGAATGCCGCAGCCGTTTTAGGAGAGTTGGGGGATGAGCGTGCGGTGCCTGCTTTGATAAATGCTCTAAAGATGACCATATCACAGTACGATGGGTTGCCGCAGAAGCGTTGGGAAAGTTGGGAGATAAGCGTGGTATCCCTGTTTTGATAAACGCTCTCAACCATAACGAAGGCTTGGTGCGATGGGATGCTGTAGACGAGAGCTTGGTAGCATGGAATGCTGCAACAGCGTTAGGGGAGTTAGGGGATAAGCGTACGGTGCCCACTCTGATGGAAATTCTCGGAGATGACAATCAGGACATGGAAGTAAAGCTTGAGGTGATGAAAGCATTGGTGAAGTTAAACCGATAAGCACCACAGGCAGAGGGAGAAAGTATGTCCAAAACGAAGTAGTATCGCGTCGGAATTATCGGTTGTGGCGGCATCGGCGGAAATTACGCGACAGCGTTTCAGCAACTGCACGACCGCGTGGAGGTTGTCGCCGCCTGCGATATCCTCGAAGAGAAGGTGAACGCGCTCGTTGAGCAATTTGAGATTCCGTCGGCGTATACGAACATGCAACAGATGTTAAGCAAAGAAGGACTTGATATCGTCGGTGTGACAACGCATAATCGGGAGCATGTCGAACCGACAATTGCAGCAGCCCAAGCAGAGGCTAAAGCAATCCTCTGCGAAAAGCCGATGGCGTTGAACATGAGGGACGCAGACCGGGTGATCGAAGCGTGCGAGCGGTCTGGAACGAAATTGGCGATTGACCACACCATGCGGTTTGAGCCGAATTGGCGTCGTGTCAAGCAGATGGTGGATGACGGTGCCATTGGTACCCTATTACACATCGAAACTCAGAATTACGGCGATACCAGTACGTTGCTGCACAACGGGACGCACAGTTGCGACTCCATTCGATGGTTCGGCGGGGATCCGGAGTGGGTTATGGCGACTGTTGACCGGAGTAATGAACGTGAACGGATTACGAGTTTTTTCGGTCTCAACGACGGAATCACCGCCCTGTTCATGACCGGCGGTCACTGGGATTACCGGCTGGACGGTTGCTTCATCCTTGAGGGAAGTGAAGGTAAAATAGAGGTCCGTCCACAACGGGGTTGGCAGCCGCTGATCCGGCTTTGGAAGAACGATGGAGGGTTGGGAGACTTCCGTGAGGGTGAACAGATTGAGGCGATAGGCAGCGAACTCATTGGGGATTCGACAGGAAATGTACCGAGCGAAGGCGCGTGGGAAATGGTCGCTTGTCTCGACGAGGATAGAGAGAGCGTCTCCAGCGGATACGATGGCCGCATCGCTTTGGAGATGTGCCTTGCCGCTTACGAATCGGAACGGCTTGGCAGAGCCAAAATCACGTTTCCATTGGCTCAAAAAGAATCTCCGCTTGAGTTGATGCTCGAAAGCGGACAGCTTCCATACATCCCTGCGAGAGAATACGGTTGGGAGCTAGGTTAAACTTTGGGAGCAAAATCTTTCCCACTGTCATCGTTTTGCCCTCCCCAGCGTTTATGTCTGCGTTGAGCCCCAATTTTATTGGAGCGGCAACTATTCCATATTCGTAAAGGAGACCCTACCATGTTTTTATTCAGGGGACAGCACCTGTTTCCTCTGCTTATAGCAATCCCTCTTTTCCTAATTCTGGGGTGTAGTGAGAGCAATCGTGTCGATAATTTCGCGCCAAGGATTTCTGCCTTTGAGGCGGACTCCGATATCATCGAACCCGGCACCTCAGCCGACATCACACTCAAAGCCATTGACGTTGATGGCGATAAACTGTCTGTTGAATGGTATGCGACCGGCGGTACGATTGAGGGCGATAATCTCGGTGCGATTTGGACTGCTCCCGAAGAGGAACAAAAATACCTGATTGAAGTCACCGTGAGCGACGGAAGGAAATCGACCACAAGCGTCATCGGCATCCGTGTGTGGCGAACCCGTCCGGGGGATTACTATCCACTCGCTATTGGCAATAAGTGGAACTATCACGATGATCAAGGAAATCGGGTTATCTTTGAAATCGTTGACACAATCGAGATCCAAGTCACCAGCGATCGAACTGTTAAAAGCTATGTCTTACAGAAATCGAGTCCTGATGAGGGGCTAGAAGGCATCCTCAATTTCTCCTACTTGGGTCATAAAATTGAAAATGGCGTTGTCAAGGGAATCTTCCAGCATGCTCAGAATGTTACCTCCGGCACGGAAGATACAATCCTTTTCTCACCTTTTTTACCGCTTTACAAGTTTCCGCTGATCCCGGGGAATCAATGGCAAACAAGCTTTCAAGCAAAGTTGTCCCCTGAACTGTTTCCAATCGGTGGCGGTGTAGATGAGTTTGAGGTACTTTCAGAGGAAACCTTGACGGTTCCGGCGGGAACGTTTGAGAACGTATTTCAGGTACAGGAGACATTTAAGTGGAGCATTTTCGATCATCCCCTCGACATAACGGTGGCACAGAAATGGCTTGCTCCCAATGTAGGCATCATCAAATTCACTCAATCTCAGACCCGCGGGGATGTTACCGTTGATGTTGAGTTTGAACTAGAGTCCTTTGAACTGGTAGAGGAATAAGCACCGCATTCAGCGATTTGACACTAGTTCTTTTAAGGGTGCCAGCAGTTTCGCCGTAAGATAGGGGGTGGATCCCTCCCCAACTGCATCAGGATTCCAACTTCTTAATCCCGATGCTTCATCGGGGGCAGGTGGTGTCTCGAGGTCATCGCGTTCTGGAATCGGTTCGGCAGCTTTAATGACTTCCCAGACTTCACGGAGCATCTCCATGCGATAGCACTCCAAACTCCCGTAACGTCCTTGGTCAATACACTCCAATCCACACCTCTCGAAACAGAGAAAGGCGGTATAGTTATCGACACCGACTTGAAGCTCAAAAGCATCCACGCCGAGATGTTCAAATGCCAAGTCGATTGCCTGCTGCGTCGCCTCTGTGCCATACCCCTGATAACAGCAATCGGGTCGAATAACAATAAACTCAAGTGTTGCGACTTTCTCATCCTCACCGGTACATCTAATTAGCATAAAGCCAACCAGTTCGCCGCTTGGCAGATCAACTGAAAGCGGGTGCGTATATTCGTCAGCAAGCCAACGATGCCAATTGTCGACGTAAGCGTGGAACGGCATGAATTCAGTGCGCAAGCGATTACGAAGGGTAGGCTCATTTGTCCAGCCCCAAGTCCGCCGCAAATCTCGCTCCTCAGTTGTTCTCAGTCTTATGCTGCCGCCGTAAAGCTTTTCTATCTCGCGTAGCTGGGTTTGCAGGATTGCTAACTGATCTGTATAGGAATCTGCCTGTCCTGCTGCAGTGCCAATCAGTCGCTGCTTCGGCTGATCAATGAACTCAGCCTGCTTCAGTCGATTCTGAAAATAGGTGAGTTTCTGTTCATTTTTTTCAATAATTCGTCTCAATTTGTCAATCACTTGACGTCCACTATCGCTTCGCACGTTTATGCCTCCTCTCATACCGTTTTTTCTCTTTCTTCGGTCCTTCACGCTCAAATCTTCCTGCACTAAATCCCGATATGCGCAAGTAGCTATCGTATCGCAATTCGCTAATCTTTCCACCCTCGACAGCACTTTTAACCGCACACCCCGGCTCATGTTGATGGGTGCACGCTGCAAATTTGCATTCGGGAATGTAGGGACGCATTTCGGGGAAATGGATGTCCAGCCCCTGCTCATCATCAATCTCAAACAAGCCGAGTGTACGGATGCCCGGTGTGTCCGCGACGAACCCACCAAAATGGAGTGGCAACAAGGCAACCTCCGTTGTGGTGTGCTGCCCCTTGTGCATCCGCTCATCAACATCACCAACACGTAGCTGCAAGCCCGGTTGAATTTCGTTGAGTAGTGATGATTTGCCAACGCCAGACGATCCGACGATAGCGGAAATCCGATCTTTCATCACTGTACGCATTTCGTCAATTCCAGCACCCGTTACAATACTGGTGTAGATTAGATTGTAACCGATTCCCTCGTACAGTGCCATTTGTGCTTTTAATTTTTCCAGTTGGACCAAGTCAATCTTGTTAATACAGATTACGGGTAACATCCCCGATGCCTCTGCTGTCACGAGAAATCGATCCAGCATGCGTAATTTGAGTTGAGGGTTTCGTGCCGCAAAGATGACTAGCAGGAGATCGAGATTGGCTACAATGACCTGTGGCAATTTGTTTACGCGCGTACGACCAAATTGGGTCTGACGCGGAAGAATTTCCTCAATATAACCTACATCCGTTTTCGACTGTGCCCGCGAAATTTGCACCCGATCACCGACGGAAACGAGATCCACGTAGGGCAACTCTTTCGTTTCTGCACGCTCCCGTCTATCCGCTTCAATAATATGATGTCGCAATGAGCAGTGGCAGAGTTGTTCCCTGATTTGGACATCATAAACCCCACCGTATGCTTTGATAACGATTCCTTCATCCATAAAATATAACCTCACAAGGTTAAATAAAAAAAGCCCGCAAGGAAACTCATCCTTACGGGCTTTCCGACATTACACCAAAGGAGATTTAAGTAGCCGTTCCTACCGACCCAAAACGCAGATGGGCAGAGTCAAGACGAGTTCCCTGATTATCCAATGTATTGTTTTTTCTATTGTAGTTGATTCGTTTAAGCATTTCTTGCATGACTTTGCACCACCCTTCGATATGATTTGATTGAGTTACTATCTATCCTTGAAACCTGTTTCTAATCAAGGTTGCAACTCCGCTTATTTTAACACACTTAAACCCTATCCTCAAGTAAAACTTCAATCAATTTTCAAACATTCGGATCTATTAACAACAGAGATCGATGCTGACCATCAATTTTTATGCCAACTAGTTCCAATCCCCCTTTGCAACCATGAATTCCCTTGTCATTGCAGGTTGAATTTGCTATAATAGGAGCAGGTATGTGGCGCACTCTGAAAGATTACTGTTACGCATTTACGGCAAAATGTATAGGTCAGTGCATTGCTCGGCTGCCTCGTAAACTCGCTTTATTTATAGGCGTTTATATTGCTACAGCTGTTTTTTTGTTGTCCCATCGCGAAAAGGATAAGGCGTGCAAGCATCTGGCACAGAGCCTTGGGATTGGTCAGCCGATGGTAGGCAGGCTCGTCCGACGCTCCTTCCAGAACATCGGTAAGAACTTGATGGAATTTATGCAGCTTCCTCACATGTCTCCTGAGACTCTCCATCAGCTTGTCACCCTTGAGGGCAGAGAACATATTGATAGGGCACTGGCTCAAGGCAAAGGTGCGATCATCCTGACGGCTCACTTTGGCAATTGGGAGCTTCTTGGTGCTAGCATCCTTGCACATGGCTATACAATTCGCGGGATCACCCGTCAGCTGCGATCCAAACGTTTAGACGCTATTGTTAGCAGCTATCGAGAAAAGGTTGGATGGCAAGGCATAGACCGGGATCGAGCAGTTCGCGAAGTATTACGCGGTCTCAATCGAAATGAACTGATCGCGATTCTTGCAGATGTGGACACCCGTACTCGAGGGATTTTCGTTGATTTTTTCGGCAAACCTGCCTACACACCTTATAGTCCGGTAGCTTTCGCACTCAAGACAGGGGCTGCGATTTTACCAACTTTTATTGTCCGTCAACCGGACAATTCACACCGTGCTATCATCGAAGCACCATTGCCTCTACAACAGAGCGGAGAGAAAGAAGAAGATCTCTTGGTTAACACGCAGCAGTTCACCAAAGTCATTGAATCTTACATTCGACGCTACCCGGAACAGTGGATCTGGATGCATGAACGCTGGAAAACACAACCTGAATAACCGACACTTACATATCGCATTTCAAGTATCTTTTCTTTTGGCAGCTTTTAGCCTATTCACTTTTGGCTGTGATAAAGCAGACGAAGAACCGATGCAGCCGGTCCAAGAAACGCCTCAACAGATACTGTCTACCTTTTCAACCCAACACGCAGAGGGGGGCATCACGCGGTGGACGCTTGTTGCTGAGAAGGCAACATTCCTGAAAGAGATTGTGGAGATGCAAAAGCCAAGGGTCCAGATCTTTGAGGAGGGCAAGTGGGCAATAACAATAACAGGCGATCGTGGCGAGCTTATCGAGTCAAGCAGTGATATTCATATTTTTGAGAATGTTGTTGGAAAAAGCCAAGATGGGCATCTGTACACCGATGAACTTCACTGGCGAAATAGTGATGGCAAGTTGTTTGCACCGAATACCTCCACAATTGTGCGGGGTGATTCAACAATGGTCGGTCAAGAATTGGAAGGTGATCCGACACTTGAAGTAGTTGTAATGAAGAATGTCCAATCTAAAATTTATCCAAAGGATGAGAAATTCGATGCAACTGAGAATTAATTCTGTAACAATTCCGAAACCTACCGTGGCTTTACTTTGGGCAGTTGGCTTGCTCCTTAGTGTTCTTTTGTTCAACAACCGTGCGTACCCAGCCGATGAACAGGAGACCTCTTCACCTGAACAAGAGGTAATAGACGATGAGACAACTTTATATGAGAATGTGATTGATGTTAAACACGCGGATCGCTTCGAGCAACGTGAAAGAGAAGGATTGACAATTTTTATTGGTAACGTTCAAATCGAAAGACCAAATGGCTTCCTGAATGCCGACAAAGTAACCATTTATGAAAACGTCGAAACGAATGAAACTGTAAAAACCGTTTCGGAAGGAAACGTTGAACTTCGAGACGGGGATATTTTCGTCACGTGTGCTCACGCGATCTTAAATCACCTCACCGATATTATAGAGTTTAGCGAGGACGTTATTGTACTCCAAAATGAAGATCGGTTGGAAGCAGATAAATTTTGGTATAACCGGCGCACCGGCGAACGCTGGGGAGAGGGAAATATAAAGGTTCGATTTCGTGTAAAGTCCCCAAAGGAATCTGAGTCGGATTCACAAGAATTGGATTCACAAGAATCGGAGGAGGCAGAAAACAGTGGCGGTCCTTCAAACCCATGACCTTGTCAAAAGTTATACAAGACGTGGACCCATTGTTGTTGATCGAGTCAACCTTGAAGTTGAGACCGGTGAAATTGTCGGTTTGCTGGGACCGAACGGCGCGGGCAAGTCAACAACATTTTATATGGTTGTTGGATTGATCCGCCCCAATGCAGGGCAGATTATTTATGATAATGAGGATATCACATTTCTGCCGATGTATAAACGCGCACGACGGGGCATCGGTTATCTCGCCCAAGAAACCTCTATCTTTCGGAAGTTGACGGTCAAGCAGAACATCGAAGCTATCTTAGAGGTGCGCGAGATTCCCAAAAAGGAGCGTGGTCCACGAAGTGAACAACTGATGGAAGAACTTGGCATTTCTGAGTTAGCAGATCGTAAGGCATATACCCTTTCGGGTGGGGAATGTCGTCGCGCTGAAATCGCAAGAGCTTTGGCAGCATCTCCGTCTTTTATTTTATTGGATGAGCCATTTTCAGGGATAGACCCGATTGCAGTTCAAGATATTAAGCAGCTCATCTTACACTTACGCGATAGAAATCTTGGCGTGTTAATCACAGATCACAATGCCGCGGAAATGTTAGGCATCGTTGACCGTGCTTATTTAATTACCGATGGAAAAATCACGTTAAAGGGCACCCCGGAGGCACTTGTCGAGAGTGAGATCGCTAGGGAGCAGTACTTAGGACATAATTTTGAATTGCGACGGTCTCGGATATAACGCAATTATTTGAGGAGATCAAGCCATGAACGTTGGAATGAGACAAACCGCGAGCTTACAGCACCGGCTGGTCATGACGCCCAAGCTACAGCAAGCGATTCAGGTACTTCTGATGTCACGGCTGGATCTGACGCAGCATTTGAGTCAGCAATTGGAGCAAAACCCGCTCTTAGAGGAGATACCGGAGGAGGATGAACTTGCGGAAATTATCGATTTAGAAGGACTCGATCCGGATACCCAATGGAATGAACCCGAAGAGATTATCGATCGCGAGGATAAAGAGCCAGATTTTGACTGGAAGGACTTTCTGGATGACTCCTTCCATCGGGGTGAAAGCGGAGAGTTTGAGCATTGGGAGAACAACGAGGACCAGCGTCCCTCCGATATCGCCTGTTTCCAGTCGCTACACGATTTTCTGATGGAACAACTCAGTGTCACACCTTTTTCGGAAATGGAACGGAGAATTGGTGAGCAGATTATTGGCAATCTTGATGATAACGGTCAGTTGCGGACCGGTCCTCTGTTCGATATAAACCCATTGTTCCAAAGTGACTTAGATAATGAGGTACTCTCAGAATACCTGCGAAAAGCGATCGAAAAAGGGCTGCGTAAGGAATTTGAAAACGACGAAATTTCGCTTTCTCAAGATGCGACCATTACTGTGAAATCAGAAGATAGCTGTTGGCTGATAACCGATGTGGCGGGTGAACGGACCTATACAGTCAACAAGGAAGATGGTCAACTCAATATCTACAACATCACCCTCGAATATATTGCAGCCGCCGTCGGCTGCGACGTGGACGAGGTAGAGACTGTCCTGCACTTTATTCACAGCAATTTTGAGCCTATCGGAATCGCTTATCGAACCATCCCGGAAACCCTTCTCACACAGATGAGAGCTGCACAAATTGAGAATCCACTCGCAGAAATGGTTATCAAGCACCACTGGGAGGATTTAACGGATAATCATCTCCAACGTATCGCCCAAGGACTTGGGGTACAGATTAGTAAAATTGTAGAAGCGCGGGCACTAATTGGTACTTTGGATCCCTATCCGGGGCGCCACTTCTTCGATCCAAGAGATCCAAGGGCACCTGAAACGATCATCCCTGACGTTACAATTGAAAAAATTGACGGGGAATACCGAGTTATCGCCAATGACGACGGTATGCCTCGACTGCGTTTGAATCCAATCTACGTTGATTGGATGATGAACGGAAAAAGAAACTTAGATACCAAAGCGAAGGAGTGGCTAGAGGTTCGCAGGACTCAGGCAAGGGACCTGTTACAAAGTATTGTGCAGCGTCGCCAAACGATTGCAAGGGTCACGGATGCAATTTTTGAGGTACAGGCGGATTTCTTGGAGAAGGGTGTTGAGGGGCTTAAACCGTTGATATTAAAGCAGATAGCAGATATGGCGGGTGTCCACGAATCAACAGTCAGCCGGGTCACGTCGAATAAATACGTCGAAACACCTCAAGGTATCTACAGGCTGAAGTACTTTTTCGGCGGTGAACTCCCGACCGATTCCGGATCAAATATTGCTGCAACCACAGTCAAAGGGAAGATTAAGGACATGATTGAAAATGAGGATGCAGCGAAACCGTTGAGTGACAAGGCAATCTCTGATGCATTGGAAGCGCAAGGGATTCACACGGCAAGACGAACTGTTGCCAAATACCGAGAGGAGCTTAATATTTTACCATCTCCTAAAAGGAAACGGAAATGGTAGGTAATCAACCACTGACCGATTTGCGGTGAATCGGCAGCAACCAATGAGGTATTAATTTCAACAAAGGGAGTCTAAGGCATGCAAATCCATCTGACTAGCCGTCACCTTGAAATTACAGACGATATTCGGACTTACATTGAGAAGCGTGCTAAGAAAATCGAAGCGATTTTCAATCCCGCTATCGATTTTCAGGTGGTCATGGAGGTGGAGAAAAACCGTTACCGAACGGAAATTACGCTTGCGACACGGAAAGCAACCTTCCATGCCCAAGGTGAAACGCACGATGTTTTCTCATCGCTCGACGACGTAATAGACAAAATCGAGTCACAAATTCGTCGCCATAAAGAGAGGATTAAAGATCGGCGACATCGCTTGCCTCGGCGTGAGGTTGCAGTACAGTTAAGTGGCAATGAGGAGGACACACCGGTGGAATTGGATACGAGTGATCCATCAAACATGCCGGCACCTCACTTCCAAGCTCCCGAAAAATTCGCTACCAAGCCGATGAGCGTAGGGGAAGCTGTGATGCAGCTTCGGACTTCTGGAGATGTCTTGTTGCTTTTCTTGAACGCAGAGACGAATCAGGTCAATGTTGTATACGAAGATGATAACGGTGAATATGGATGGGTCGAGCCTCAATTTGTCTAGAGGTGTTCGGGGGAGGTGTTTCGCTGAACGATAGTCCAAGTCCCGCCAATTCACATATACTCGGTACGATTTTCCTCCGAGCGTAACCTGTCCCAATCCATTGGGCGGTTCCTCCCTACCCCCTCTTAAGTTACCACACTGATTAGATTAGATTAATCCACCAAAGGAATAGTCGAATGCCAGACCATATAATGACGGTGCGTCAGCTAATCAAATATGCTGGTTACGAGCTACAACTTGAAGTCTCAGCCGGACATAATGGGCTAGATCGTGCGCTCAAAACAGCGGAGTCGAACCGCCCAGGGCTTGCTCTGTGTGGACATTACGACCACTTTGGACACGAACGGGTTCAGATTTTGGGACATGGCGAAATTTCATATATAGAAAGCCTTCCTCTTATAGAGCAAGCTGCAATATTGCAGGAATTTCTCTCATACGATCTCCCATGCGTGATCGTTACAAATAACCTGACAACCCCTGCAGAACTTGTCACTATTGGCAATCATGTAAATATACCAATCTTGACCACCCGGCTATCATCTGCCATCTTCACAACCCGGTTGCTGCTGTTCCTTGAAGATGAATTTGGTCCCTCAGAATATGTTCATGGGAACTTGGTTGATGTGTTCGGTGTTGGCGTTTTAATCCTCGGCGAAAGTGGAATTGGCAAAAGCGAATGTGCCTTGGAACTCTTGCAGAGGGGACATCGCCTCATTGCAGACGATACCGTTCTTTTGAAACGTGTATCCGGCCACCGCGTTTTTGGGATGCGCACCCAACCGGTGAAGCATTATATGGAGGTCCGGGGGTTAGGGATTGTCGATGTAATTGGCCTCTTTGGAGTCACTGCGGTCGGCGATCGCACACAGGTTGAGTTGGTCGTAACACTTGAACATTGGAACGAAAACAAAGTGTACAACCGAACGGGACTTGATGAGGAGGTTTACAATTTTCACAATGAGCGGATACCATACCTTGTCATTCCTGTGGCACCCGGACGAAATATCTCAAATCTAATCGAAGCTGCAGCAATGAATCTCTGGGGACAAAAGTTAGGATTTCATGCAGCAAAAGAACTCAATGAAGCCCTCATTGCGGAAATGGCAGAGCAGAACGATGAAGCCGTGCTCGACGAATGGCAGCACGCAACGCTTCATCGTGAAATTTTAGAGCGAACAAAGTCATTAGAGCGAACAAAGTCAAAGGTAATTTAACAGCCCCATCAGCCGATAAGGAAGATAATTATGATTGAACAATTGGTGACAATCCGCAATGCGCTCGGTTTGCATGCACGTCCCGCCGGTGTGCTGTCTCAAGCGGCAAATCAATTCTCTTCCAACATCTACATCCAAAAAGGGCTGATGAAAGTAAATGCAAAAAGTATCATGGGAATCATGATGTTAGCAGCAAGTCGCGGCACTCAACTGATGATTAGGGCAGAAGGGACCGATGAGGAAGAGGCTGTTGAAGCACTATCAAAATTGGTTGAAAGCGGCTTCGATGAGACGGACTAAAATGTCTCCAACGGCATCGCATTCCAACAGAGCCAATGCAAAATTAGGAACATATCATATGACACCGGAAGAGAGATACCTATTTGACCTGCACGGATACTTGGTACTGCACGGTGTACTGTCCCCCGATATACGTCGGCGACTCAACGAAACGATAGATTACCTTGAAACGCTTGATGATAGTCAGACAGCAGCCTTGGGCGCTGAACGGAAATATCGCACCTCGGACAATGTTTATGCCCAAACGGGTGCCCCGTCAGAAGCCGGGTTGGGTGATTATGATTGTGAGGTACTCCGCTATGGTGGTCCCTTCGAGGAACTTATTGACCTGCCCCAGACACTTCTCTATATTGAGGAGATGATCAGTGAGCCAAGCCGGCTTGATGCAGCCAGCTTTATGTCACGGAACAGCGGAGGGGCGTTTCGGTTCCATCACGGTTATGCGGAGTTACTGCCTTATAGCGAGTATGCCTTCCGGGATGGAGCGTTCAAGTGCGTGAGCGTGAAAATTGGGTATGCGCTGACGGACGTTGATGTCGAAGACGGTTGTTTTGCTGTTATCCCCGGAAGCCACAAGAGCAACTTCACCAATCCGCTCGTGGGACAGATTCCGGATCCGACCCATCCACTTGTGCAGCCTCTACCGTGTAAGGCAGGTGATGCTATCATCTTCTCCGAAGACCTATCCCACGGGGCTGTGGAGAACCACGGCTCAAAGGTACGGCGGACACTGTTTTATTCCTATGCACCGGCGTTTCACTGCACTTGGCAAGGCTTGGCAATGACAGCCGAAGGTTTTGAGCAGCGTGCAACTCCGCGTCGACTCGAACTTATCCAAGGACCTCCCCCGTTTGCTCATACAGTCGAAGCTGATGTTCGCTAACATCAGTCTCAATGCTTTGAAAGTAGACATAGTTCCTGAGAAATCGGAAAGTGAGTTCCATGAAATCAGCCACAGAAGAAGATGTCTTTGACTTGCAGATTGGCCTCGGCGAATCTGAGATCCCCGCTGAAGACAAGCATTTCTTCGACACGGCCGGCTACCTAGTGCTAGAGGACCTCCTGAACCCCGACCAAATTTCGCAGGCGCAGGATACCCTGTCAAGGATTAAGGCAACAACACCGAAAAATATAACGCTATTGCCAGATGGTCTCTATGGCTGCGAATTGGTCAACATCATTGAAGGTGGGAACACCGTTGAGGATGCCATGGCACTGTCTCGTGTCCTCAATTATGTGCAGGAATTCATTTGGGGACGCCAATACCGTCTCGTCGGCTCACGGGCAATACTCAGAACACCGGGGCAGCGTAGCCAGCTTACCCAAGGAGGCGATGCAGATCCGAGACGTTATGCCCGCTACCGTTGCTTTGGAGATGGTCAATTTCGTTGTCTGATGATTACCTGCCTGATTGCGTTGATTGACACCTCCGACGGCGATGGGGCGTTCTGTGCAATCCCCGCCAGTCACAAAGCTAGCCTTCCACACCCCTATGAGCATACGGATCTGAACGCAATTGCGCCGTTGCGCAACATCTCGTTGCGAGCTGGATCGGGCGTTTTGTTTACCGAGAACCTCTCTCACGCATTCCAACCGACAACTCGCGAAGGAGATGTGTGGTTGTCTTACCAGTACGGTCCCTCGTACATGGTCAATTGGCCCCGCTGCGAAGCGTCAACTGACCTGCTAGCGCGTACTGCCGCTGATCCTACCAAGTCACATCTGTTGTTAGAACCGTACTACCATCCCACCGGTTCACAGAAGAAGCAAAAGATGTAGTTAATGCAAATTGCCACCTAAAGCGTCAGTAGTGCTTTATGAGATGCGCCCCGCAGTAAAATCCTCTAGTTGAATCAACTCGCCGCCTCGTGCCGCCGACGCATTGGCACCGAGAACCGCTGCCAGACTATTCATACTAGTCGCATAAGAACTTCGCATCATGCTAGCGTCACCAGCCTGCACAGCTTTAACAAAAGCCTGTGCTTGCAAAGCAAAAGCGTTGTCGTTTTCCGTGGTTTCCCATACAGTTTCGCTGTTCTCCACAACTTTTTGCCCTGACCACTCAATCAGCGAATCATCGCTGACCAGCATAACTTGCTGCCGTGAAATGCTCACATTTGTCATCACCCGCGAAACACTCACATTGGCTGTTACGCAGTTAGTGAAGCGGTAGTTGACATTGTATACATGCGGCATGTTCATCGGCTCAGGTCCTTCGCCGGGCTTCCGCTCAACGTAGAATGCCGATACGGCTTCGATATCCCCCAAGAAGTAGCGCAATAGATCTACTGTGTGGATGGTGTTTTCGACGAATGAACCGCCGCATAACTCAAAGCGGCTGGTCCAATAGCGGATCGGGTTGCCGCCGTAGAGACGTTGCACCAAGGCGTGTCGCAAGGTACGCTCCTGCAATCTCCGACACACTTCTTCCGCTGACGGATAATAACGGCTCATAAAGCCAACTTGGGACACAACGCCTGATTCTTGGATAGCGGTCTCGAACCGAACGGCTTGCGCCATATCCAACGTTTGCGGTTTTTCGACAAAGATAGCCAATCCCTTGTCCGCTGCAATGAGGATTTCGTCTGTATGGAATGTTGGCGGAATACAGAGATAGATTGCGTCAAGCTCCTCTTTGTCCAACATTTCGTGGTGATTCGTGTAGGTTGCCTGTGCCCCGAAGGTTGCGGCTTGTGTTTTTGCGGTCTCTTCATTGATATCACAGAATGCCTGCAAAGTGACCTCGCCGGTTTCAACCAACGGCGCGAGGGCTGGCAAGTGTGACCGAGTGGTGATATGACCAAGACCAATAAATCCCAAACGAACAGATTTCATAGTAGTGGATGCCTCCATTTCTGAAAAATTCTATAATAACATGATGAGGATACCATATCTCAGTGCTAAGTAGCAAGTGTGATATGAGTTGACAAATTAATCGGTTGTGGATGATAATTGGTCATAGGCACTTTCATGGAAATCAGTTTTTTTTGCGGAATAATTTGATTGTGCCGGATTTGGAGATTTTTATGCAACCCAAAATTTGGCGACAGTGGCAACCTATTTTTGAATTATCCTGCTGCAATTATGCTATAATATCTTGATTAGAAGAGGGGGCTTGTGTTTAAGATTGGTACTCTTATAGTCGGTATTGTATGGCTCTTGGCATCTTTTTCGTTGTTCGCATCTCGATTTAGAATTTTCATGTCCGTAAAGAGGAGAGAACATGACGAATTTATACCGTGTCGCTATTATCGGCACCGGTCGTATGGGTGGCTTAATTGAAGATGAACTCTCGGTTAATCAATTTTCGAGTCCTTATGGTCACTTCAGTGCCTACGCCGCTATTGAACAGACCGAGGTGGTAGCTGTTGCCAATCGTGGGACAGAACGTTTGAAACGGTTCACCGATCGGTTCGGCATTACCAACACTTATCTCGATTATCGGGAAATGATTGAGCGGGAAAAGCCGGACATCGTGAGCGTGACCACGCCGTCATTCGCACGCGCTGAACCGATCATCTTCGCGGCAGAACATGGTGTACGAGGGATATATTCCGAGAAGGGACTCTGTGCCTCATTGGCAGAAGCTGACAGCATTGCCGCCGCATGTAAAGCAAACAATGTCGCCTTCAACTGGGGAGCGATGCGCCGACACCATGACGGTTATATTCGGTTGCGCGACGCCATCGCTCAAGGAGGTATCGGTGAACCGCGCTATGCGGTGATGTCTAGCTATACCGATATCATCAAACATCACCCGCATACATTGGACCTTGTGTCCATGTTGCTTGGCGACCCAATGCCAATTTGGGTGGAGGGACGCCTCGTGCAGCGGGGTGAACCGCTGGCTGCAAACGCGGATCAACGTCCCCGTGCGTACCCGGACTACGATTCGGACGGGCATTGTTTTGTACCGCCCCCCGGAGAAGAAATTGCCGATCCTATGGTCGAATTCTTCCGGATTGGCTATGAGAACGATACAGAGGGGGTTTTTCTACCCATATCTGGTCCATTCAGCGTTGATGTACACGGCACTGAAGGACATGCCTACGCATGGGATAACGGCGAGGTTTTGTGTGTCCGCCACAGCGCGAAGGGCGGGGCTGCCGTTGAGGAACAGGTTATCAAACCGACCGGCGAAAGCCCCACGGTGTGCACGATCCGCAACATTATCCGCGAGATCGAAACGGGCGAGCGTACCGCTGGAAATATCGACATAACGATGCAATCGGTGGAGGCACAATTTGGTATCGCGCACTCGCACTTGCAAGGGGGAACTCGCGTGGCATTACCCGTTGCGGATCGAACTCTTTACATCCCCGGCGGTTGATGGCGAATTGTAGTTGATAGATAATATGGGCGGAGTTATCTTGCCCTCACTCTTTGGGGCTGGTGGAGGTCTGCCCATTGACTAGAGCGACCTCCAATAAGCGTAATTCAATTCACAACAAAGGAGATAACATTTATGGCAAACGAATCAATTCAACTTTTTAATGGAACAGATCTCACCGGTTGGCGGATGCGGCGTCCAGACCGAGAACACAAGTGGGTTGTTCACGACGGCATCCTTGACAACACCGATAAAGGTGTGGACATCCTCACCGAGCAAGAGTTCGGCGACTTTGAACTGCATATCGAGTATCTGGTGCCAAAGGATAGCAACAGTGGTATCTACCTCCGGGGACGATATGAGATCCAGATCTTAGACAGTCTGGGGAAGACCTACTCATACCCGGCGGAGAATGGTGCCCTTTATAATCAGAAGCATGTGGATGTCGAGGCGAGCAAGCCAGCTGGAGAATGGCAAACAGTAGATGCAACACTCAAAGGTATGAGCCTGACAATATTCCTAAATGGAGCCAAGATTCACGACAACGTGACCATTGAGGGACCGACAGGCGGACAACTTAGTGACGACAATCCACCCAAGGGACCCCTGATGTTGCAGGGTGACCATGGTCCCGTTCAATTCCGTAATATTCGGATCCGAGAACTGTAATAACGGATATGAAAAAACGGCTCAAACTCAACGCCCTATTCATTATGTTTTCTAACCGGGCGCGTGCTCAGTTTTTTGAACCATTTCCCCACAAAAGGAGCATAAATGACGGCAAATGTGTCACCTGATAGACCAATTGTAACGATCCAGCAGCATATCATTGAAGGGCAACAGCGCTATCCCGGCGCAACAGGAGAGTTGAGTTGGTTACTGTCAGGAATTACGCTAGCAACAAAGATTATACAGGATCGGGTACGTCAAGCGGGACTCCTTGATGTTCTCGGTGCCACCGGTACAAACAATGTTCAAGGGGAGATGGTTCAAAAGCTTGATGTTATCGCCAACGAAACGCTGATGCGATGTTTGGGATACCGCGGAAATGTCGGCATGATGATTTCTGAGGAAGACGCTGAACCGCGCATCGTACAAGACGTCGGAGAAGAGGGGAGATATGTAGTTCTGTTTGATCCTCTCGACGGCTCAAGTAACATTGATGTAAACGTACCAATCGGCACTATTTTCTCGATCCTCCGACGTAAGCCCGATATCGATAGAAGCGATGCGATGCCGCATATCCTTCAGGCTGGCATTCAACAGGTCGCCGCTGGTTATGTGTTGTATGGTAGCAGCACGGTGATGGTCTACACCGCAGGAGATGGTGTCCATATATTCACGCTCGATCCAGCAATTGGGGCATACGTGTTGACGCAGGAAAACGTGCAGATGCCGGAAAACGGCAGAACCTACAGTGTCAACGAAGCCTACTCCCTGACCTTCCCGCGAGGAGTGCAGAAATACCTTGAATGGGCAAAGTCAGAAGAAGCGGGCGGCTACAGCCTGCGGTACGTCGGCTCGCTAGTTTCTGATTTCCACCGTACACTCCTCCGTGGCGGTGTGTTTCTTTATCCACCAACGCAGAAGGATCAGTTCGGTAAGCTGCGGTTGTTGTATGAAGCCAACCCAATAGCTTTCTTGGCAGAGCAGGCAGGAGGGATTGCTAGTGATGGAAGACAACGCATCCTCGAAAAACAACCGCGGTCCATCCACGAACGAACACCGTTGATTGTCGGTAACAGAGACGAGGCCAAACGGGTGCTGTCGTTTTGGGGAGAATGATTCGGAAACTCATAGCCTCTGTGAAGCAGCAATTTTTTTTGATTTTGGAACGCTCAATCAGGGATGACCAGAGACAAAAACACAACAAAGTCATAGAAACGCCAAGATTCTGTAACATCTCTTGTTTACAATTGTTGTGCATCTTGATTACTTCCAAAATTTCAGAAAAAGGTGCTACTTAATATGAAAAACAGATGGAAAATGAAGCACAGTTTTATTGTCGTAATTATTATATTGGTTCTGCTTTTTGCCAAGACCACTGTGCTGTCACAGATTGAGTTGGAGCCGATTGGCACATATGCTAGCGGGCTGTTTGATATGAGTGCCTCCGAAATTGTGGCGCATGATCCACGGACTCAGCGAATTTTCGTTGTGAATGCGGCTGTCGGTCATGTAGATGTGATTGACATCAAAAATCCGACGCAGCCGACGCTTCTCTCTCAAATTGATGTGAGTTCCTACGGTGCGAGCGCGACCGTGTGATGTTTTGCCGAAGGTGTGGTTGCCGTGGCAGTTGAAGCTAATCATGCACATGCGCCGGGCACAGTTATTTTTTTCGACGTTGATGGCAACTACCTAAACGCTGTCGCCGTTGGCGCGCTGCCGGATATGTTGACCTTTACCCCTAATGGTCGTTATGTGCTGGTTGCTAACGAGGGTCAACCCAATACTTACGAGGACCGGTGAGTGCAAATGACCCGAGGTTCGGTCAGCGTCATTGATATGTTAAGGGGTGCAGCGAACTTGACTCAAGCCGATGTGCATACCGCGGATTTCCGTATGATTACAGCCGGCGATCTGCATCTGAGATCGGATGCTTTGGACTCGCTTGCCAGTGTCGCCCAAGATATCGAGCCATGAGTACAAAAAAGTCGCAGTTCGGACGATTCCGCGCCGGGAAGGGGTTGTGCTCATGGAAACAACGCCGAAGCGCAGCTCTGAACATCGCTACCGCCACAATTACCGAAATTCTTCCGCTCGGTTCCAAAAATTACAATCGACGCGTATCTAGCACTGTGGCTTATGAACCTTTACTTTCGACAATTTGCCGGTGCTCGGTACAACCGCCGCCGGTCAAGAGATTTTGCTAGGTGGATTTTCTGGGCTTTTCTTTGAGGGTGTCAACTCACGTAATGGAAATCTCCAATTCATCACGCACCCTGACCGTGGACCAAACGTTGATCCGGTGGATACCGATGGTGATGGTGTCAGGGAACATCCATTTCCGTTACCGGATTATCAAGCGCAGTGGCTGCGCTTTGAACTTGCGCTAGACACCGGTCACCTTGTCATCACGGAGACTATCGGACTCGTACACCCGGATGGAACGCCCATCACCGGACGGACTTCCAACCCTTGAGGGACAGTCCGGTTTAGCCCACGCCGACGAAATTCCGGTTGATCTCTTGGGAAATGTGCTGGAACGTGATTTATTCGGTGCCGACATGGAGGGCATTGTATGGGCGGATGATGGAACTTATTGGATGGTGGATGAATATCGCCCCGCGATTTACCACTTCAGTCCGATTGGTGTACTGATGCACCGTTTTGTGCCAGCAGGATCTAATACCACTGGTACCAACGTCGGGGTGGAAGCAATTCCACCGATTTTCGCGCAACGCCGTGCCAATCGTGGATTTGAGGCTGTTGCGTATTGGGGTGGTATATTGTACGCCTTATCCAAGCCTATTGATAATCCCGACGTTCCTACGATGCTCTTCAAAGCAGGAAACAGTATCCGCATCCTCGCTTTTGATACGCGCACGCAGCAGAGTGTCGGACAGTATCTGTACATGCTTGAGGGGAACGGTAGCGATAAAATCGGCGACGCTGTTGCTGTTGTTGAAAACGAATTCTTGGTGATTGAGCGGGATTCACGTACCGGTCCCAATTCACAAAAGAAAATCTTCCATATTGATATCCGAAGCGCCACGAATATTCACAGCATGACCGAAGATGTCCCACTTGAATCACTGACTGTTGAGGAACTATTGGGTAGGAGAATTACACCGGTGACCAAGGTCTTGGCGATCGACCTCGTTGAAGCGGGTTATGACTTTGCTGATAAGCCGGAGGGACTTGCCCTGATTGGGGAAAATACCCTCGCTATCCTCAACGATAATGATTTCAGGCTTGCAGGTGGATTCGATCTTACAACTGGTTGCTAGCGACAATCCTGACGCACAGGATGTGGTACTTGGTATCATCACTATGCGCTCAAATGGTCTCGACGCCAGCAATCGAGATGATGCGATTAATATTACCCATTGGCCCGTCCGTGGATTATATCAGCCTGACGCTATTGCCACCTTCAAGAGTCTTGGGGAAACGTTCCTTATCACCGCCAATGAGGGGGATGCTCGTGATTACGACTACTTCAGCGAAGAAAAGTGTGGCGAATTTGGTGCTAGATCCGTCGGTCTTCAATGCCGAACTTCAAGTGGATGATCAGTTAGGACGACTCAAAACTACCACAGTCAGCGGCGACGCTGATGGAGATGGACAACACGAAACTATCTTCAACTACGGTGCATCGGTCTTTTTCAATTTGGACACCCGACGGTCAGTTGGTTTTCGATAGCGGCGATGACTTTGAACGCATTACCGCCGAGCGGATTCCGAATGATTTCAACGCCACCAATGATGAAAATGACTCTTTCGATGGTCGTAGTAACGACAAGGGTCCCGAACCAGAGGGGCTTGCAATCGGCAAAATTAATGGTCAAACCTATGTCTTCATTGGCTTGGAGCGTGTCGGCGGAATTATGGTATACAATGTAACCGATCCGTATGCTCCAACGTTTGTGCAGTACATCAATAACCGTAACTTTGCAGGCGATGCAGCAGCAGGAACAGCGAGCGATCTAGGAGCGGAGGGACTGCTCTTTATCAGTGTTATTGATAGCCCCATTGGTACACCGCTACTGGTTGTTGGAAATGAAGTCAGCGGAACAACCACGATTTTTCGCATCCGATCGGATATAGAGGAAGATTTCAGCAATGTATTCTTCATGTCCTTAAAACGGGGATTGAACATGATTTCTGTGCCGCTAAAGCCGAAAAAACCCTATACCGCCCGATCTCTTATGGAGTTACTCGGTGCAACAACAGTCATTGGACTGGAAGCGGACACTCAACAATTCGTCGGTTTCACCGCAGACGCGCCGGACAATGGTTTTCCGATAGAAGGCGGGGCAGGTTACATCGTCAATGTACCAGAGCAGAAATCGGTCAGCTTTGTCGGAGCAGCGTGGATGAACCTGTCTTCGGTTGCTGCAGCCCCCTCGCCTAGCGCAATTGAAGGCGCGTGGGCGTTCGTCATTAGTGGCAGATTTGGTGAAACTAGAACCGATGGTTATCGGGTGACAGCGCGAAATGTGCGAACAAACGCTGTCACAGGAGATTTTGTGAGGACCGGATATTTTGCAGCAGCCTTCGCAGACTGGAGTCACACGAGCGTCGTTGAAACCGGCGACAGGTTGGAAATCACCGTGAGCGACACATTCGGGACTGTTGTTTCTGGTCCTGACCTTTACACCGTGACACCGGCGGCTATCGAACAAGCATTTCTCCGGGTCAGGTTGCAACAACTTGTGGTACCGCGCGTCAACCTGCTGCTGCAAAATTATCCTAACCCCTTCAACCCTGAGACATGGATACCCTATCAACTCAGTACGGCGGCTTATGTGACGATCACAATTTACGATGCACAGGGACACATTGTTCGGTTGCTAGACCTCGGTCAACAGGCTGCCGGTTTCTATCACAATCGTTCTCGCGCTGCATATTGGGATGGTCGCAATTGAACACAATGAAAAGGTTGCTTCGGGACTCTATTTCTATCAGATTCATGTGTCTGACGAAGCGGGACATCAAACTGATGGGTATAGTGATTTTTCAGCAACCCGTCGGATGTTGGTATTAAAATAGTAGCAATTTCTCCAAACGGTTATAACATCTAGAGGATATATCATAGTGAACTCTGTTTGGAACACACGTCGAATTCAGGCCGCAGCGAGACTTCGCGTTTTGCTTTAACCATGCTTTTGTTTGTCTGGATTCACAACATCTTCGAGAAGAAAAATGGCATCAAAGATTCTGATTGTGGAAGATGAGCCTGATATTGTTGAATTATTAGTGTACAATTTGGACCAAGCGGGCTTTAAGACTGAGGCAGTCTTTAACGGGGCAGACGCCCTTGACCGGGTAAAAGTCCAAGCACCGGATCTCGTCCTCTTGGATCTATTGCTGCCCGAGGTGGACGGACTGGAGGTCTGCCGCACCTTAAAACGCGATCCTGAGACTGCAAGCATTCCCATTATTATGCTAACGGCAAAAGGTGAAGCAATTGACCGAATTGTTGGGTTGGAGTTAGCAGCAGACGACTACATCACCAAGCCATTTAGCCCACGAGAAGTTATGCTGAGAATCCGTGCCGTGCTGCGTCACACACTCAACGCTCCGCGCAATAAGCCTTTAAATCAGATCCAGATTGACGAGTTGAAGATTGATTTGGACAGACACCAAGTATTCAGCAATGGCAGTGTTATTGATCTGACTGCCACAGAGTTCAAAATTTTGTCCCTATTTGCTCACTCCCCGGGACGTGTCTTTACGCGCAGCATTCTGATGGATGCGGTTTGGGGACAAGAGTATTACGGCATTGAACGCACGATGGATACGCATGTAAGTCGTTTGCGGCGCAAGTTGGGACAGTTCGGAGAACGGATTGAGACAGTACATGGGGTCGGCTATCGGCTCAAGGAGTAACGACGCAAAGGTATCAAATTTAATTGAATAAAGGATAGCACAAGCCCGGTGGGAAAAATGCACACTGGGCTTTTTGGTTTCTCATCACCCTCTAATTTCTGTCGCGAAATATCCCATAAAATCTCCACAAATTTGCCACAAGATTTTCATAGCATTGCGGCATTCAAAAGATATACTTGTGTCGATTGCTAAACACATTCGGATGAACTTAAAAAGGAGGATCCGAATGTGTCTTCACTAGAGATAATGATTGTCAAATTTCTAATAACAGGGGGTAACTATGAACAAAATATCCCGCCGTGATTTTCTGCATTATAGCGCAATGGCAGCCGCTTCTGGAGCGATTGCGCTCGGTTTTTCCGGCTGTAGCCGGTTGTTGACGGAATCTACCTCCCAAGTCCCCACCGCCAACCGGTATGGCGATTTTCTGCCAGATCCGTACGGCATTCTTGATCTCCCCGAAGGCTTTACATATCACGCCTTCTCCACTGTTGGAGAGCGTATGGACGATGGATTCCTTGTTCCCGGTGCTCACGATGGCATGGCAGCTTTTCCGGGTCCAAACGGAAAAACAATTCTGGTCCGAAACCACGAGTTAATTATAGGACCACAGGAAGCCCAGTCATTTGCCCATGATAAGCGACTCCGAGAGGTTAATCCTGAAAAGATTTACGATTCGGGAAAAGGAACGAAACCGGGGCTTGGTGGCACAACAACGCTTGTCTATGATACGAAGACCGCGACATTGGAGAGTCACTACATGAGTTTAATGGGCACGATTAGGAATTGTGCCGGTGGCACAACGCCTTGGAACACCTGGATCTCTTGTGAAGAAACCGTTCAACTCGCCAAAGATACTTATGAAAAAGACCACGGCTACAATTTTGAAGTGCCTGCCTCCCCTACTATCGGCTTGACGACACCGATTCCGTTAACAGCAATGGGACGATTCAATCATGAGGCTGTCACTGTGGGTGCGAAGAGCGGGATTGTGTATCAGACCGAAGATCGGCACGATAGTCTCATTTACCGCTTTATCCCGGATGTACCCGGAAAACTTGCACAGGGTGGACGACTTCAGGCAATGGTAATCCGTGATATGAAAAGTGCCGACACCCGAAATTAGAAACAGTGGACAGATAAGGTTTTCCCTTGGACCTATGACGCCACAGTTGCAGTTGGCGAAAAGATGGAAGTTGCGTGGGTTGATATCCAAAATGTCGAATCCCCTAAAGACGACCTTCGTCTTCAAGGTTTCGATAAAGGTGCGGCAAGATTTGCCCGAGGCGAGGGGATGTGGTATAGCGATAACACTATCTATTTCGTCTGTACAAACGGCGGCTACCGCAAGAAGGGACAGGTTTGGCGTTATATTCCCAGCCCTTTTGAGGGAACATCTGCTGAAGATAAGCAGCCAGGGGTACTTGAACTCTTTATTGAACCCAATAACAGCAATCTCTTAGAGAAATGCTGACAATGTGACAGTGACACCGTGGGGCGATCTTATCTTGTGCGAGGATGGTCCAGGGACGCAGTTCTCGTGGGCGTAACGCCGGAAGGAACGCTGTACAGATTCGCCAAGAACTCACGTAGCAACTCGGAGTTCGCCGGCGCAACGTTCTCGCCGGAGGCAGCACACTGTTTGTCAACATCCAAGGTGCTGGGATGACTCTCGCCATCACGGGTCCTTGGCACACATCCACAAAAGTGTAAAAAAATGTTCTCCATAAAAAAGCCAAAGGAACTATAAAATTTTGTAACATTTCTAGGCTATACTTTCGGGCGTTGGTTGGGGAAATCATGAAATTTGGGATGGAGGGTTTTGCTTTTCATCCCAAATTTCGTTTTACCGCTACCAAGTGAAAATGCCCTAAATTGGATAGCCTCTACGAAAGTTGATTGCCACAAAAAATCGAAAGAGAGGTCATAATTTTGTAACATTCGTAGACTATACTTAAGGGTGTCCAAAGGCAAAGATGTAATCAGAAAAGGAGAACAATGAAACAACCACTCTTGTGGGTGTTGATAGTATGCCTCTGTTGGACCCCGTCAACACCCATCGCACAACAGACTGGACGTATTGAAGGAATCGTCCTTGATGAAGCGACAGAAACACCGATAGCAGATGCAAGCATCGTATTGAGCGCGACCCAACAGCGCGTATCAACGGATCAGGACGGAGCATTCACTCTTGAAGTCCCCTCAGGCACCTACAACATCAGCGTCCGATTTCCTTTCTATCTCACACAGACCGTATCCGGAATTGAAGTCACCGAATCGCAGCCGCAGCAAACCCTCCGTGTCCTCCTCACCCCTCAAGTCATTAAGTTAGGACCTATACATCTGCCTGTCCGCCTGAGCGAATCTAGTGAAACCGGCCTCTTGGAGAAGCGGCGCTTGAGTTTCGCTGTCGAAGATAGCATCAGCACCGAGCTGATGGCTAAACTCCCTGTCTCGGATGCCGGTGAAGCACTAAAACGGGTCACTGGAATCAGTATTGTCGGCGGGCGATACGTTTTTGTACGCGGACTGGGGGAACGTTATAGTAACGCCTTATTGAACAGCGTCCAGATTCCAAGTCCTGAACCCAACCGCCGTGTTGTCCCGATGGATATTTTTCCCGCTAACCTGCTGGAAAGCCTCCAATTTGTTTCTCTTACGCTCCATCTTGTCGGGGCGTTGATTGCCACAGCATACGTCGTACAAGAAAAGATCGCCAATGAGGAACTAGTGCAAGGGGTGCTCGTCAACTACCCCGCCCTGAAGGACGGGGCTTGTAGCCTGTCCAACGGGACTTACGCTTGGGCAATTATCTTACCCGCAACGCTATCTCGGTGCTTTAACAAGCCCTAAAAGATAGCGCGGTTATGCGGCTCTGGCTCGTAACTTTACACACCCGCCACCGCACGGTCGAAGCAACCGTTTAGGTATATTCACGACGTATCGGTGATAGCATCGCTTCAACACCCGGGTGAAACCTCAGACAAACTGCCTTTCACATTGAAGTGAGAGGTCAGCGTTAAACGAGCGTTCAACTGAAGTCCTCGAGTTACAAACTATATTCTACCATACATCTACCAAAAAAGTGTAAGGTAGATTACAAAAACAACAAAAAGGAGGCAGGATTTCCTCCCCATGCTAAAGCAAGAGGTTTCCATCCCGAAGATTTGATGAAACCTGCTCCCAAACCGACACTCAGGCGCAGATCCCGTCCACGCATTGCCAAAACTAGCACGCCTCGAAAGGCAATAGACACGCCCAAACCGCAACTTCAACAAATCGCTACAACTAGTGCTCGGCTCCCAATAGGCAGCGAAAGGTTCACGATTCCAGCCAGCAGTCTTTCTGTTGGATCGATCGGTGAACCTAGCACCCAACTTGGCAGAGGTCTACTCGCGGGAGCCCGTCAGGCACAAGTGGTTGCCATAACCCCTCAGTTTGAAGCCCCAAAATTTATGAGTACATCAATAACCAGTAAGATTGACACAGGGAACAGTTTTGCACAAATGGACTTTAATCCGGAGGAGATGGAACCGATTACAGCAGAAATGAGAGATGCGACACAGTCCTTTACGGAGTTTCTCCAGTCAATCCGGGAAAAAATCAAACGCTCCCAACGCTATCCGCGATCAGTGCGGAATTTAGCTGACGGCAGCGAAGTACAGGTACAATTCACGATTCAGCACGATGGAAGCCTAGTTGACGCTAAAGTTGTCGCTTCCTCTGGCTCCAAATCGCTTGACGCCGCCGCTTTGACCGCCGTGCGGGACGCTGCCCCCTTTCCATTATTTCCTGAAAGCCAAGAAGGATCGACGCTTCGTCTAGAGATCCCGATCGCTTTTCAGCTAAAGACAAACTAAAGTACGGCTGCACATCACTCAAACTGACAAGACGGTATCCTCCATCGGCTGTGTTATGAATTTTCTCTTTGTCCCCGTTAAATTTCCTTTTCAGGGACATACTTCATAGTACGCTTTTTTGTGACAATTTGTGACATTTATGGTATATTTTAGGTTAAGCGATGTTACATGATTTACCGAAATATCATTGAACAAAAATATTACCGAATGGAGGTCAAATGAAGAGATATTTTCGACGTGGCATCCTATCTTTTATTTGTCTATTGTTGAGCAGCTCTTCTGCATTATGGGGAGATGAAGGTAGGATTAGCGGTTATTTTTTTGGCGATTATTACTACGTGCTGAAGTCTTCCGACGCTGCATTTGAGGACCGGAACGGATTCCAGTATCGGCGCGTCTACTTCAATTATGACAAGGAATTGTCGGATGCATTTTCCATGCGGTTTCGTCTGGAGATGAATGGTCAATCATTTCCTACAGCCCGTCAGACATCCTCAAAGATTGTGCCGTTTCTAAAAAACGGCTATCTAAGGTGGAAGCAACCCAAGTGGCGGACGAATATTTATTTGGGAATATCCAGCAACCCGACTTGGCAGAATGTTGAAAAGATATGGGGCTATCGCTCTGTTGCAAAAACAGTGCTTGATCTCCACAAAATGGGGAACGGCTCCGACTTCGGTATAGCCTTACAAGGCGATGTTGACAAGTCAAAGAAAGTCAGTTATCACCTGATATTCGCAAATGGCATGAGCACAAACGCAGAAATTGATAACAACAAGAAGATTGCTTTTTCGCTCGCGGCCAAGCCTGCTACAGGCTTTATCGTCGAGGGATATGCCGATTTGGAAAACGCAGTGGATCGGGGTAGATGGTACATACTACAAGGTTTTCTCGGCTATCAGCGGGAGCAATTTCGACTCGGCGTTCAGCTTGCCAATCAGACGCGGCAGAAGAATGACCTTAACATTTTAGTGGGCTCGGCGTTTGGTGCAGCGCAATTGATAGAGAAGAAAATGTGGGCTTTCGCTCGGTTTGATCGATTGTTCGATCCGAACCCCTTTGGAAAGAGAGTTGCTTATATCCCTTTTGATGATACAGCAGCGCCGAATATGATTCTTGTCGGGTTGGATTGGGCACCAATTGAGGCGTTTCATATCATGCCGAATCTTGTCTTCGTTTTTTACGATGAACCGGATAACGGTGCCAAACCTGACGCAACGATTATGCCGCGCTTGACGGCATTCTTTACGTTCTAGCAATGGCTGTTTTATTTATATTTGTCCCTCAGTTATGATATACTACCATGTATCATGACAAACGTTGGAATATGACAAAATTGGAGGGGACACACTATGCAATCTCACTTAGAAGAAAACATGCAGCAGGACATCGATCTGATTCGCAGCCATGTAATTGAGATGGGCAAATTGGTTGAGAAAGCGTTAGAGACCTGTCTGGGTGCGATTGAGCATAATGATCGGCAGTTGGCTTATGTTGTTATTTTAAGAGACCGGCATATTGATGAGTTAGAGGAGACCCTAGAATCGCTTTGCCAGAGGTTCCTGATTAAGCACCTGCCCGTCGCGAGTCAAATGCGTTTTGTTTACTCGGTCATCAAAATCAACACCGAATTGGAGCGTGTTGGTGATTATGCGAAAGCGATGGCTCGGCGATTTTTGAGTGTCAGCGACTTGGGTGCACATGCCTTCCATCCTAAGCTCATCGAGATTGCCAACCTTGCAATTCCGTTCCTCCGTAACGCTTTGCAAGCCTTCGCTGAAGGCGATGCTGAATTGGCAAAGGCAACGAGGGAAAAGGAAAAAGAACGGGCGATAGACAACCTGCGCTACGAAATTCATCGTGATTTAATCCAATTACATATCAATGGCGAATTGCCATCAGAGGCACTGGTGCCACTGGTAACGATTGTCAGTTGCTTGGAGCGTGTAGCGAATCAGGCGAGCAATATTTGCGAGGAAGTCTTGTATATGTGTACCGGTGAAGATCTAAGACATGACTACCCGCACGTGTTGCGCGTGCTTTTCGTTGCCGAGCACGATGCGTGCCGGGGACAGATAGCGGTCGGCATCAGCAATGCACTCGAATCGCATAGGATACTGTTCAGTAGTGCCGGCGTGGCATCCCAGCCGCTGGATCCAAAAACCGTGCAATTCATGACAGAAAAAGGCATTGATATTTCTGGTCAAACCTCCAAATATTTAAGCCAAATCTTAGATCTCAAAGATTACGCAATCATTGTATCGCTCTGTGAGGAAGCGGAAAGAGCACTTCCATCGTTGCCATCGAGACCTGTTCGTATTAGTTGGAAAGTGCCAGATCCATCAAAACTTGAAGGAACTGAAGCGGAAGTTCAAGCTGCATACCAAAAAACATTTCAATTTTTAGAAACACACATCCGAGAATTGAGTCAAGCAATTCTCGGTAATGACGTTGAGAAGGAGAAGGAAAACTGATGTTTAATAAAGTGTTGTGTGCTTTCGTCGACGGTAGCGTTCTGTTTATTTTCAAACGGATGTACAAAGAAAGATGAGACTGGTGAAAAGAGTAAGGCGAGCACAGCGGAAAAGTCCGTGATTCAGAATGCGGGTTCTGATACGATGGTCAATCTCGCACAGGCATGGGCAGAGGAGTATGCTACAGTCGAGTCTAATGTTTCCATTGAAGTCTCCGGTGGCGGTTCAGGAACCGGCATCGCTGCGCTGACTAGCGGCACGGTGGACATCGCGAATTGTAGCCGTCAAATAGCCTCAGAGGAGGTTGAACGTATCAAACAGAATACTGGCGAAGCACCGAAAGAGTTCATCGTTGGATACGACGGCCTCGCTGTTTACGTCCACAAGGACAACCCACTGGCTGAAATCTCCATAGAGCAACTTGCTAGCATCTACGGAGAAGGTGGAAACATAACTCAATGGTCTCAACTCGGCATCGAAAATAGCAAGTGCCTCAATGACGAGATTATTCGGGTGAGCCGACAATCGAATTCTGGGACATTCGTCTATTTCCGCACAGCAATACTGGGCAAGAATCGCGACTATAAACTCGGTTCAAGAGATTTACACGGTTCCAAGGCTGTCGTCGAACTCATCGCACATACGCCGTGTGCAATTGGCTATAGCGGCATGGGATATGCCACGGAAGAGGTAAAGATGCTCAAAATTGCCAAAACCGCCGGTGATACCGCCTATGGTACCTACCGCCCAAGGCGTGCTTGATGGTACGTATCCAATCGCAAGACCCTTGTATATGTATTCGCTCGGAACGCCAGAACCGCAGGAACAGTCTTACCTAGATTGGATCTTCTCGCCAGCGGGACAGGGGATTGTTGAGAAGACGGGTTACGTCCCCATCGGACAGAAATGAGTCGCGATAGGTGCTTGTCGAATTACAGTGCCGACACACCAATGGATGACCATCAATTATGCGAACAATCGTAAACGTTTTTCACCAACTGGGACGTTGGTGTGAGCCAGTTATCGAAGGAATTATTCGCCTGTGTGGTATCAGCGCAATTATCTTTGTCTTCGGTATATTCTTTTTCGTTTTCCGCGAAGGGATGGGGTTTTTCTTCGGCGGATTGGACATTATTGAGTTTCTTACAAGCCCTGAATGGTATCCTACCTCTCTGAACAATAAACGTTACGGTGTATTGGCATTAATCGCAGGTACGTTTAGCGTGACTGCCTTAGCGATGGTTATAGCTGTACCGTTTGGACTTGGGGCAGCTATCTTCGTGTCTGAATTTTGCGGACCGAAACTGAAGGAGACGCTCAAAATCGTCATCGAGTTACTCGCGGCGATTCCGTCCGTTGTGTGGGGTTTCATCGGCTTAACGGTGATGAACGCACTGATTATCAAGATATTCAAAGTGCCGATTGGCTTGACGATGCTAAACGGTGGCATCATTCTGTCACTGATGAGCGTCCCCATTATTGTCTCAATCGGCGAAGACGCGCTCAAAGCTGTTCCGGATTCGTATCGAGAAGCAGCTGAAGCACTCGGCGCGACGCGATGGCAGGTAATTTATCGTGTGTTGCTGCCCACAGCGAAGAATGGGCTGCTTGCAGCGGTGCTATTGGGCGTTGGGCGCGCTGTAGGTGAAACCATGGCGGTGCTGATGACAACAGGTCACGCGGTCAATATGCCGACTAGTCCTTTCGATTCCGTCCGCACATTGACCGCCACGATTGCAGCCGAATTAGGTGAGGCAGCAGTGGGCGGTGATCACTATCGTGTGTTGTTTATCATCGGCGTTTTGTTATTTTCAATTACATTTATTGTGAACTTTGTCACTGACCTTGTGATTAAAGGTATCCGTGGAAAGGCGTAGCGTTCATTTGAGAAATTATATGGCAACAGATATAAATTCCTCCCTCACTTCTCCAGAAATCGTCGCCCCTCAATTGATGTTCACCGCAACCGAGCAGAGCCGTAAAAAACAGTTGATGGAGAATATCGCACGGAGCATCTTCTTCGTGATGACGATGTTGATGATCTTGCCGCTTATCCTCATCGTTGTTTACCTCTTTGTCAAAGCGGCACCGGTCCTGTCCCTCGAATTCTTTTTTACGAATCCTGCAAATGGAATGAGAGCCGGTGGTATATGGGCACCGCTGCTTGGAACAATTTACATCGTGATAATTTCACTGCTCGTTTCCGCGCCGATTGGTGTGTTAGCAGCAGTATATCTGAATGAATACGCTCGCGAAAGCTGGTTCACCCGCATAATCAATCTTGCAGTGGTTAATCTCGCAGGTGTGCCGAGTATCGTTCACGCACTTTTTGGTGTGGGTGCCTTTGTGTACTTTGCAAGGATGGGACGTTCGGTTTTAGCTGCCTCACTCACATTGGCGATTATGACGCTGCCGGTTATCATTGCAAGCACGAAAGAGGCACTCGGTGCTGTTCCGATGGCGTTCCGGGAGGCGTGTTGGAATACTGGTGCGACGCGGTGGCAGACGATTAGTGGTATTGTTTTGCCAAATTCAATCAGCGGTATACTGACCGGGATAATTTTACAGGTGTCGCGGGCGGCGGGTGAGACTGCGCCAATTATGTTTACCGGCGCAGTATTTTTTAAGGCGATCTCTGAAGGGGATGTTTTCGCCTACGGTCTGTTAGATCGATTCATGGCACTCTCGATGCACCTGTATCAACTTTCGACGCAAGTACCGGGGGTTCCCGAAGCCTTAGAGTACGGTACAGCCGTTGCGCTTTTGGGCACTGTGCTGATGGTGAATGCGTTGGCGATTGTGCTGCGTGTATACCTGCGATCTCGAAAGCGGTGGTAGGATTCAGATCGCAAAATCGTAGTAATTGAGAACTACAGGGAAATTGACATTTGAAATTCAATGCTGGGAATTTTAATTTACGGTAAGATCTAAGACATTGGCACAACTATCTAACTCTACAAAGAAAATCGAAATCGCTGATCTCACCGTCCAATACGATGGGGCGGAAGCCCTCAAAGGAATTTCTTTCGACGTATATGAGAACGAAATACTTGGTATCATCGGGCCCGCGCAATCAGGTAAAACAACGCTGCTGAGAACTATCAACCGTACGATCGAATTTGAGCCAAGTGCACGGGTTAGCGGTTCGGTAAAAATCGACGGCACGGATGTGAAAAGCATCAAAAATGTCAACCAACTGCGCCGACGAATTGGGATGGTATTTCCGCTGCCGGTCGGTTTACCGTTGTCTATCTACGATAATGTTGCTTTCGCGCCCCGGACTGCGGGCATGCACAAACGGAGCGAGTTAAACGAACTTGTTGAACGTTGTCTACAACAAGCAGCACTTTGGGATGAGGTCAAAGACCGACTCAATAGTCTCGGCACAAAGTTGTCGGGGGGACAGCAGCAGCGTTTGACCATCGCCCGCGCCCTCTCGCACCAACCCGAAATTCTCTGCCTCGACGAATTTTCGATTGCCATCGATCCGGTGACAACAATGCGAATCGAGGATATCCTCAAAGAATTACGCTCCCAAATCACTATCATCCTCGTCACCAACTAGTTCAACAAGCCCGCCGATTAGCAGACCGCACCGCTTTTATATTTGAGAGTGAGCTAATCGAAATCGACGACAACGACGTTATTTTCTCCGATTCACCGGCGAACCGACTAACCTATGACTATGTGAATGGAAACTTTGGATGAGCGCAGACAAAAGACACAGCATCGAAACCCGTCAACTTAACCTGTGGTATGGTGACTTTCAGGCACTTATCAACGTGAGCGTGAAGATTGTTGACGGTTTGATAACCGGGCTCATTGGTCCATCCGGATGTGGTAAAACCACGTTGCTGCGCTGTTTCAACCGCGTAAACGAACGCTACGGCAACGTCACGACGACCGGCGAGGTTGAAATCCTGGGTAAAAATATCTACGATGCAGATGTCTCACTGCCGGAGCTGCGAAAAAACGTCGGCATGGTATTTCAGCGTCCAAATCCCTTACCAATCTCCATTTACGAAAATATCATTTTCGGTCTGCGTGTCCACTCTGAACGTCGTATGCGGAAGAAGTCGGAAACTGACGATATCGTTGAAGCGGCACTAAGGGAGGTCTTTCTGTGGGACGATTTGAAGGATCAACTAAAGGTGAGGGCAACCACCCTGCAGCTTGAACAGCAGCAAAAGTTGTGCATAGCCCGACTGCTGCCGCTGAAACCGCGGGTGATTTTGATGGACGAACCGTGTTCTGCTCTTGACGCCAAAGGGACACGGGCAGTTGAAGAGTTGATGTTGGAACTTGCGGGACACTACACCATTCTAATTGTCACACACAATATGGCACAGGCGCGTCGTATAAGCGATGAATGTATTTTCATGCTGCTCGGTGAAATTGTCGAGCACAGCCGTACCGAAGATCTGTTTCTAATGCCTCAGAACGAAAAAACGGAGGACTATATCGAAGGACGATACGGATAATCAATTTAGTACACGTCCGAACCCTTCAGCGGAAGCGGTACAACCAGATATTGCGATACTTCACCGGGTTGCCGTGGTCTTGCAGTCGTAAGGGTCCCGGCTCTGCGGCACCTTCGTCCGTTGCTCCACCTGTAGCCCCCAGCATTTGGACATTATTCTGTATCACAATCCCGTTCTGCAGAACAGTCACACGTGCGTTTTCTTCTATCTCTCCCGACTCACCCACGCGAGCAGCACGGAATATCGCATCGTATGTTTGCCATTCAAGCGGCGGCTTGCAAGCGTTCACCAACGATGCAAATTGATTGTAAATTGCACCGCAGTCTCCCATGCCCGGCACATCAATCCCGTAGGAATCTAGCACCTGGATTTCGTACCGACCCTGAGGGAATACCCCGCTGTTTCCCTTTGCTTGACCCGTTGCGTCTGGCATATCGGGTGTCATGAACTCCAAGTGAAGCAGAAAATCGTTAAACTGCTCCCGACTCACGATGTCGCCTCCGCCGGCGGTCACGGTCATCGCCCCATCGGCAACCTCCCACGCTGGTGCCCCTCCATCAAGCTTCGTCCAATTGCTGAGATTTTTACCATCAAAAAGAACAACTGCTGTATCTGGTGGTGTTTGTATCATCGATTGCCCTCTCTTTTGCAAAATAAAAAAGCAGGGCTAAAAATCAGCCCTGCTCTGCATCTGAGTTGAGATCAAGGGAAGAACCGTCTCCTAAGAGCCATCTCCCTTGATAGGGGAAGCACTGTCTCCTAAAAGACAGCACCTCCCTTGATCATTCTACTAGATGGTAACAAGAACGATCACCTCCTTTCGTTTTAAAGGATACAAATAGCATAGCATACCTATACAATTTTGTCAACAACAAAAACTAGGGGCAAATCAAGATTAAAAATTTATGTTGTATTTATTTTCTCAAGAACGGTATAATAGGTATAGGAATTACGCAGTCGATATGCAGAACATGTAATCTGCGGGATCTTGAACCATGCTCCTGAATCTGATATAGGATTCAAGATGCAGGAATTACAAGAGGTGGCGGGCTCATAGGCTTATACAATTGCGTAAGTCCTAAAACAAGTGTAGCCTATGTCTGTTTCTGATCCAGTGGGGATCAGAAATAGATATAACAAGGGGCTATTTATCAATTACAGTGTCTAAGCCAAGAAAAGGAGTATACCAAATGAAATTAGGATTGATTCTAATATGCATCAGTCTAATTGGAATTGGTGCTATTTTAACAAGCACAAGTAATGCAGCTACTGTTGCAAGCGAAAATGTGTGGGAATATGGCTCTTTGATGAGGGGAACGGCGCGAAAATCACTGACTCCTCTGGTAACGGCAATGACGGACGACTGCTCTTCGCAGGAAAATCAAAATGGGTTGACGGCAATTCGGCATGGCACTGGAGTTTGATGGCGATCAGGCTTTCGTTGAGATGAACACCCCGACAAATACAGGCAGAGAGGGGCACACCATCTCAATGTGGGTGAATCCGGCTGGTATACAGAAAGATTTTACTGTTATCATAAGTAATCATAATCCAATCCCTCAAGGATTTAGTTTTCAACAGAGGGCAGCGGAACTTAACAATTTCTTCCACGGTCTGGTAGTTGCAGACGCATGGCAGGGACCTCCCTTTGCCGTACGGCCCCGCAACCCAACTGACCGCAAATCAGTGGCAGCATCTTGTACTCGTTAGAGATGGTAGAAGGGGTGTGCTGACACACTGGCTAAATGGACAGCCGACTGCTGGGTATCCGATCTTAAAAGGGGCGCAAACGAGATCCGACGATAACCTTCGTATCGGTAACACCGCAGCGGTAAAGCATGTGAATTGGGCGGCAAATCGGGAATTCAAGGGTGCTGTAGACGACGTGGTAATTTTTGACAGACCCTTAACTATAGATGAGATCCTAATCCTCGGAGAAAAATCGATAGAAGATTCGCTTGCTGTTTCACCTAAAGGTAGGCTGGCTACAACATGGGGACAGGTTAAAGCTCGGTACTAACTCCAACCAACTAATTAAGTAAACTGATCTCAACAAATAAACTTTCACTTTTCCATCCTCAGCAACAAGAGGAAGGGAGTGTTCTTCTGTCCTTCCCTTTCTACGCTTCCTTCCTCTCCCCAAGGAAACCTGATGGCACAACTGAATTTTTTCGATTGTAACACCTATATTGGCAGACAACGGAAATCCTCGCCGCTAGCGTTCCATACCGTCGAAGGATTGCTAGCAGAGATGGACTACTTAGGTATTGATGAAGCTGTCGTATACCATGTGACTGGCGGTAATGGCAGCCTGATGCAAGCTATCAAGGGACACGAGCGGCTCCATGGCTGTTGGGTATACCCTCTACATCATTATCCAAGTATGCCTGAACCCATCAAGTGGTCGAGGATATGTTGAATCAGGGGGTGAAAATCACACGGTTGTTGCCCTCCTTTTACTATGCCAATCTCGTGGCGGACTGGGCATGTGGCAAGCTGTTTTCCGCTTTTGAAGCCTATCGGACGCCGGTGCTTCTGACCGACTCAGATCTGGGTAAGTTTCCAGATGAGACACGCCCCAGTTACTCAGCGCAGAATGTCTACGATATCTGTCAGCGTTATCCTCGGATGCCCGTAGTCATCATGCGTTTGAATTTTTCGGCAATGAATATTATCCATCCTCTCATGAACCAGTGCCCCAATCTGTATGTAGAGATTTCCTACTATACTCCGCACCAAGGCGTGGAGCAGTTAGTCCAGCATTTTGGTCCAGAAAGCGTATTCTGTTCGGGACAGGTATGCCGTACAACGGACCGGGGGTGGCTCTAGGGTTGATGCGGTATCCTAACTAACCTTTGGTTCTGACGAACCCCACTTCATTGTTAGCGTAGTTCGGCATGTTGCTTAGCCCAATCATGCGATAGCGATATAGAACAGATTTTTGGCATCAACATGACACGAGTGTTGAAGTTGGAGTAGGAGGTTTTCAAACATGGTAATCGGTTGGGGTGTTATTGGTTGTGGACGGGTTGCTAATGCGCGTGCTATTCCGGAAGGGATTATGGCTGCGGAGAACGCGCGGCTTGTTGGCGTTGTGATCTCTTTACGGATCGTGCTCAGGCGACTGCCGATAAATTTGGCGGAAAAGTTTATCAGGATACGGCGGCGTTGTTATCTGACCCTGCCATTGATGCGGTGTATATCGCTGCCCCGCCCGCGACTCACGCGACTCGACATCAACGCGGCAAAAAAAACGGAAAACATTTGCTGTTCCAGAAGGCCACGCTTGAATGACCATCGGGGTGGGAGATGGTGCGTATCTGCCGTGAACAAAACGTCGTACTTGGTATCGGTTTCATGATGCGTTACCATGCGTGCCATCAAAAATGCGCATTTGTTCGATGTGTGCTATAGGAAAACCGGTAGCTACACGCGTCAGGTTAGCTCCGTTTGGGTCACCTCCGTCATCTATTGAGACTTTGGGAAATTGGATACACGATCCGAAGGTCGCTGGTGGGGGATCCATGATGGGGATTATGTGTTGTGTTCATTACATCGATTGATTCGATGTGTTGGACGCATCACAGAAGTTTGCAGCTTCTGCGATACCTCTTACACAGTATTGAGGGTAGAGGATACGCGTTCCATCTCTTCATGTTGGAAATGGAGCGCAGGGAGTTATGGAGTGCTATATGAGTGTGCCGAACTTCCCTGGGCGTAGATTGCTAGAGATATATGGAAGCGAGGGGATGCTGGTCGCAGAGAACACAATCTATCAATTGCCAACGGGAAACCTATGGCACTACAAACGTCTCCGACGGAATGTGGAATCCGAACATGAGCGATTGAGTCAATCCGGAAATATTATTTGCGTGAAATCCAGCTTTTTTCGGAAGCAGTGGAAAGCGGTAGCGCATATCAGATTCCGGGCGAAGAAGGGCTATATGTACAACGGGTGGTTGATGCCATTTATCGTTCTTCCGCAGAACGACGTGTCATTGCACTGGACGGTTAAATAGGGAGAAGGGGAGAACGAGCAGACGAGAAAATCGCTGTTCCGTTTTAAGCCTCCGCGAGTTTTCGCCAATATTAAAAAAGATTCGCATGGATTCGTGGAGGGATTCCCGTTATCCCATTTTCTTACTTTCCCGCTTTCCAACTCAATCTCTTCCAATCTTCCATCCTTTATCTGGCAATCACGAAAGGAAAGAACAATGAAGCTTACTGGTGGCGAAGCGATTGTCCGGTGCTTGGAAAGCCAAGGAGTTGAATATGTCTTTGGTATGGCTGGGCACGGAAATCTTTCATTTTTGGATGCACTGGTCGATTCTAACATCAAGTTCATTTCAGTACCCCACGAACAGATCGGACCCTTGCGCAGACGGCTATTTCCTTCCTGGTAAACTCCAGCCAGCGTCATATCAACAACAGTTGGTCCCGGCGCAACAAATACATACGGTGGTAGTGATGCCTTGTAGATAGCTCGG